ATAATTGCACGAATATAAATACATACATACATATATATGCCTTAATACCACGTCGACGTTTTTATAAAAAATCCAAGAAAGTATTTGTAGATTGAGGGTAAAGCTATAAAATTTCTAAATTGGCCGGCTTATTATTGTTTCCAGAAATAAATACGTGCATACATATTATAACTTGCACGTATGTATATACATATGTAGATTACCTGACTGCTGACTTGAAACAACCTGAGAAATAGACATAATAACACGTTTACAAAACTAGCACATATTATGTTCATATTAACTTCGAACAAATGCTCTTTGATTCGCATTTTGCTCTAAATTCCCAAATTACATCTACTGATTTTTGTAAAAGGCTGGTGGTAACTTTCATAGCTGCATTTTGTCAACTAGTCTGGTCAAATTTGTTTCATAGCCTTTACAAAATGCCAAACGAATTTTAGGAAATTTTCGATTCAAACTAATATCTCAGTCGATTTCTTGTCTTTGAAATTTCAAAAATATTTGGGAATTAGTTGTGATATTTACAATGTTTCCTAAACACTTTACACCCCCGTCGCACACCGCGTTTGAAGCGTTACAACGTTTCTCCCTTGTCATGGAATGGCTCTACAACCGCCCCATAAATTGGGACAGGTCGACATGGCAACCGAGAACGACGCCTCGACAAAAACTCACCACTTGGTGCTTTCTGTCCCTAATCGTGCCCAGCTTCGCGATCTATGCCGTCTTCATCCTGCTCCAGCAGCTCGTTTCGTACCAAAAAGACCCCGACGTTTCCATCGTCATGGGAATATTTATAATTTTTGGAAGTTCTGGGTATACAGTTGCTTCGTCCGCAATTTTGACGGAAACCTTGAAACTTGACGAGCTCTGTGTGATGTTGAAATTCCTTCGGAAATTTGAAGGTATTCATAACCATGAGGGTGTTCGAAATTGTTTTGTTGTCCTTAGGTTTATGTACGATGGAAAAATAATGAGTCAAGCTTCGTACAAATTGTAACGGGATTTTTTACAACAAAATATGACGACGCTTAAAAAATCCCGTTACTTACGATACCAATAAAAGAATAATGGATCGATACATAACTTCAGAAATGATTCATTTAAAAAAAATTCAAACTTTCCCCTTCTTCTAGCACATTCCACACAACCATCCGACCTGTTTGGCCTATTTCTGCACGGACTCATCCTCGCCGTTATTATGCCACCTCTCACGTGTTGCACTCTTCCCATACTGGCGCCCAAAATGAACCCAACGTACCTCCTGTTTCGAAATGTGTCTCTGATTTCGCACAATTGCAAAATAATATTGAGATCTTTGATCATATTCGTATCCACGCTGCACGCTTGTTCGGAACTTCTTGGATTTGCAATAATCGCTACGAACGTTACCCTCACATTGAATGGGTGCCTAAAAGTTGGCAAAATTGGAGATACCCATGCAAAATTTGTCACGTGTTCCCAAATTATTTCAAGTTTCCGGAGGTATCGACAACTACAGATTTTTAATTCAATTGTGAATCAGGTGATGTCCTACATTTTGCCGGTGGGGATGTCACTCACATTTTTGTGCATGGTTTTAATGGGATATTTCTTAATCAAAATGACGCACCTGGTCCCGCACACGATCACCTTTTGTGTCGGGTCCGTTTTGGCGACACTGTTTTGCTTGGCGGTAGCAATACTGCCCAAGATGGCGGACGTTAGTGTTAATTCCGCCAATTTTGTGAGGTACTGGAAATTGCAGAGGACTTCTCGTTATTTGAGCAGACAGCTGAAAAGTTTTAAATGTTTAAGGTTAGACTCGGGACAGTTTGGATATTTAAAGAAGGCCTCGGGAGCGGAGGTATTATCGCAGTTTTTGTATTTTGTAATGTCCTTGGTGATAATGATATGAGGGGTACCATTTCGAAAATTTGTAAAGATCTTTTTGTCGTGCTAGAATTCATAAAATATGGGGTTTTAAGCTATGTGAAAATATTCCAGATATCAGAATATTAGATATATGTACATATTTAAATTTATTTATGTACATAATTTCCATGAATTACCGTATTTTCCATGTTTTCTGATAATGAGTAGAACTTATATATTAAAAAATATAATTTATTTATTAAAAATATAATACTAGAAATATACAAAAATTGTTAAATTAATTAATGAATGAATTAATGTTAGTAATAATAGAAATTTATAAAAAAATGGTAAATATATTGGTGCAACCCCGAAACTATATAAATATTGCACTTATGTATGTAAAACGAAAATTTATTCTGCAATGATGCACTGAACAAATAAATTTAGTTTAGTGTAATCAAAAAATGTATCAAAATCCAATGAAAATCACTACAAATCACTAATTAGTGTGTGCTGCAATCATGATTTACATAAATGATTTTACGTATAACTATACAAATGTATGCAGCCATAACAAGGCTTCTCATGTTACGATGCATGTATAAATACCAGTGCATTAATACGACACTTGCTATTAGGCAGCTTAACTAGGGATTTATTAAACATTTATAATCATGTTTATAAAAACAAAATGCAAAATGCACCACATTTTTTGTAAATTTCCTTCAACTTGCCCTTCCTTCAGATATAAATACCTCTTCAACAACAATCTGGTCTTGTACTATTCATATCTCTTACGGAAAACACGATGAAACTTTTCACCCTACTTTTCGCAACAATTGGTATGTCGCGCAACACGTTGAAATTAACAAAACTGTATCATTTATCTAAAAACCATTCCCATTTAGCGATCATTTCCATCATTTGTACAAACGCAATGCCGGCACGACGTGAACAACCCGAACTTGAAGAGGAATGCATACCCGAAAATTTAGAGAAACGGCGTGAGTTTGCAAAGCTAAACGTACACTCTTATAAATCCAGTACTAGAATAATATCAAAGCGGAATTAATAAGAAGTACCGCTTGGTAATAACTCGTTTTTAAATATTTTTCTTTATGGGTAGAAAATTCTAATGAACCGGTATAATTTTAATACTGAGCGGTAGCAACCTTAATACAGATAAATCAACTAGATTTTTCATAGTGTACAGAATTTTAAAATTCATTTTCATAAAAAAATGTTCCCAATTTTCTAAATACAGATTCGCACCACCACCATTACGATTACTACTCCGATGAGGACGACTACTATTATGGGGAGGCGTATTATTCTGATGAGCGTCACGATGACGGAAGAACGCTCCAACAAAATGGTCGTTTTATGCTAGAAAGGGTCGGAGGTCGTGCTGGAGCAAATCTTTCCACTTATTACACAGGGTCAAATGGGGGATTATTTGTTGGAGTCGGTGGTTGGGGTGGTTACTAAAAACTGGGGTCAGTTTTCCCTAACTAACAAAAATGCAAGGCAAACATAACAATGGAACCACAACAATGTATCGCGAGATGATTATAATCATCATTAATAATTTACTTTTTTATTTATTTATTTATTTATTTTATCACGCTAATAAATTCATAAATCTGTAGAAATCTATCAATTCACTTAAAATAATTAAGATCCGCATATCAATGCAGCAGAGTTGTTCATACACATGTAAATAGGCATGTGGGCAAATACTTCTTAAGGAAGATATCTAATTAAATTATATAAGAGTCCATAATTAGCACTTCTGGCAGACTCGGATCTATTTATTGATTTATTATTGATTTTGATTATGCAATATTTAAAATAGCTGAATACGTTACATTTCTAAAGGGGAAATGAGTGATTGATTTAAAATGAATTATTTCGAATATTGAGGATAATTACGATTGACATCTTATTTTGCATTTTGCAATCTTATCTCGTTTTGCACGTATGTATGAAGGATAATTCATTCACACTTTGGAATTACCATCATCCAAAATTTATACAAATTTGAGTCCTCCTGGAACGAATAATCAAAAATGCTTACGTGAGTAAACATTATATAAACATAAAAATACAAACACTTTATTTGTTTACTTTATGAGTAGCATGTCTCGAAAAGTTTGAAATATGGCGATTATGTACAAAGCACTTCAACCATTAACACATTTTGATGTTTTTAGTATGTTTTAAGAATTTATTAGACATCAATTCATAAATTTAATCGACATCAAACTCTTAACAAATTACTCGATAATTATCTGCGTAAACCGTAAAAAATTCAACTTATTCACACAATCTTGGTGTTTCTTTGTGCAGGGTTTTTTTAGTATTTATAATATAGTTGAACCAAAAACCCTTGTCAGGATGAGGAACCATAACCTTCCCTTTGGAAAGCATGCATTTTGTAAGTTTGTGACGCTGGTCATTAATTCTGAAAAATTAAGACGCATATGTGTAATCAAGCAAGGTGAAGCAAAGTTAAACGTTTGTCCCAATTCTTCCGACATGACATATGTAAGTACTCATCACAACTATTTATGTATAATTAATGACATACTAATTTGCATAGCTGGTTTCATTCGGTACGGTACAAAAACCCTCTCCAACTTTTTCCAGTGTTCGACACTCTTGAATTCTTTGTGTTTACAAATTCTCACTACCCGTGTCTTGTACATACATTTCGAACCGGCAAAAAGCAACAATGAATACAACGGATTCATTGATGCTTGGAAAACACATGTGCTTCTTCAAGGTTTTTGTTTGAGTATTTACCAACAAGAGTGTCGGAATACTCATTTTTCAAATACAAAGAACCCTCGGTGTTATATAAGTACGTTAGGGTACATAAAATGTAAATGTTTTGTGTACAATGGATACGTGCCGAGATGAATAGAACTATTTTCAGCCTACGCAAATCGATCTAGCATCTGGACGAGTATCATTCAGCCAGACATTTATTGGCTTCGACAATTAAGCAAATTGCGTCATTTATATAGGGAACTTGCAGCTTTGAGTAGCGCATTAAAATCAGAACATTTGCACAGAATGGATGCATTTTTTGCTAACTTACTGTTTCTCATCATCTCATTTTTAAGTAAACTGTTCTATGCGTCTGGCTCAAATTTTGAAATATCAGGCTTGGAATTGGCCACAAAGCTATTTGGAGCGTGCAATTCACACATCATGATGTTCGCGAGACCAATTAAGAACCCGATTTTTGCAAACCCAGTTCAACTCTTCATCCATAATCACACCCTTTCCACCACAAAGCACAATTTAGTCAAGTACGAGAAATGTCGCGCAAATATAATTTTTCCTGTGAATCAATTCACCCCAGATTTCCAGCGGAATCTTCACCGCGCTTTCGGTAGGAATGGCGCATCCGTCAGCGAAATGTCAAAGGGAATCGTGCGCAATGCTAACTCTAAGGGAGACCGGGAACCCTGGTACGAAGGCAGGTACGAAAATGTTTTCTTCATTCTGGTAGGCCATTTTGAACCACGAAGTTCCGAATGGATCATGTCTGCATTAACCAGGAACGAGTATCCCAACCATTGGTTCGCCATTAATACGAGAACATCCCCTCCCACCATGAAGTACATATGTCTCCGCTGTCTCCCAACCCTCTGGGCCAACTCTACGTTTCGGTTCGACCTCTGGAACTGGAACGGGGAAAACATTACGCCCACTACATTTGACCTTTTCGACCATGTAATAAACTGGGAAAATCGTATCGTCACCCTGTATTGGTTGGACTACTGGCACATGTCCGTTATGAAGACTCAGTACGACAAACGGCTCTCATATGGACCACGCCACGTGTTGAGCGACATCCGCTCTGGAGCGGCCCCTATTGTCCCGTCGGACGTCTATGCACCCCTCCTACTCGGAGGAAACCTTACATTTTCGGAGTATCAGCATAGGTACATTTTTTCCAGACAGACGCAACTCGGGAACTTGCAAGATATTCAAATTCAAGGGGTATGCTATATCGTGCAACATGATGATGTTGGCGGTGAATTGGGACCGGAAGAAATGTATCAACGGAATTATCAACTAGCTTTCACGGCGGGGCATGAATTTAGGTTCATGACCTGTTCATCCCTCTCTACTAGTTCTAGGATCAGCTTTCTCTTCTATTCGTACCCGTTTCATGGGGATACGTGGGGTGTAATTGTTACGTTTCTCGTAATCCTACCGACGCTCGTGCTGGCCTTGACGGTACTGATGAAGGAGGGGAATAAACGGGGACAACGGTTGCTCTTCTTGTACTCTACGTTTTCGATGAGTCTGATTGAAATGCACTTGGCTCAACCAAAATCGTATAAAACCAATAAGGTCTTTCTGCTAATTTTTTTGGTCTGGTCGGCCTCCAGTGTGATCATCAGTAATGCGTAAGTGAACTAAAAGAGAAGCAGTTTCGGAATGATTTACTCAGAATGTTGATCATCGATTTCAGCCCCCTATTGCAAGCGAGTCTTATTTTGCCCAAAATTTTACACGTGTAAAGTAAGATTTGAGTGTAAATTAAGTTATGATGAACCTGATTTTACTTCTCCATGCTAGCATCTTATTGAGGGTAGCCATGATTCCTGTTATAATATCAAGGAACTTTGTCTTTACCCTCCCGCGCTCGTATCCCTACCATACTAATAGTATGGGCAGGATACCGCGCGGGAAGGGAAAAGAAAAAGTTCCTTTTTATTAAAACAAGTCTCAATAATTGCGAGGTTTTGTAAACGTCGTAAGGTTCTGTGATCAAAAATACCACTTCTTTTCTTGCAAAGATATTTTGCGATAATAAATAATAATGAAGACAATTGTGAATATTCTCATTCTGAGATACTTGTTCGAAAGTAAATACATGTATGTAATTAATAACCACGTATTCGTATATTTATAGGTATAAAGGAATCCTGACCAACTACGTCGTCCTACCCCTGGAAGAGACCACCCCACGGACCTGGTCATCTCTCTTTAACCTGTCCAGCTTCACTTTATGGATGGGCGACGGCAGTATCGCTCCTAATAATAAAGTATCCGCTCAATATGGCGTCAAGTTCGCGCCGGACACCCGCTTCTCCAAAGAGCTTTTTGTCACGATGCGGAAAATTGCGGAAAAATGGGTCGCTCAATGGAAATCTTCTGACAGGAAGGCAGCAATGGACCTCGTGTTCCAAACCCTGCTCGAAGGTCGCCTCTACACCATGACCCGGCTCAAGGTCAACTTCGACTACACCTCAATCGAAAAGGAGGTCTCATCCTGTCAAAATTCCGCTTTGGTAGAGACTTCCCGAATTTTTCGGAAATATTTATTAACGGCGTTTCCAAAAAGGTCTTCGAAGCTGAATAAATTTTACCGGGCGAGTTATCAGGAGGACGCGTTTAAAGGGAGCGAAGGATGGTTTGGGACTAATCGGTTCGGAAACCCGCAAGTCTGGCGGAGAATTCAGGCCTTAATGGAGTCCGGATTGTATGACATGTGGAAATCACTCTTTGAGTTTGGCCTGATTTACAGGAATTTGAATTTCTCTTCGGAAAACGAGTTCCAGCCGCAAAGCCTGGTTTCAAATATTGCGACTTTGTTTATTCTCTTTGTGGGTGGGGTTTCTCTCGGGGTGCTGGCATTTTTGGGGGAAATTGGGGTATTACTGGTTACCAGGTGTGGTAGGTGTGGTGCACGACGCAGAAAAAAATGAAAAACGATTGAGAGTATACATATACATATATATATTTGTAGAATTAGTAAAGTTGGTAACAGAATGTTAAGAAGTTAAGCACGTGCTTCTAAATAATTACTTATTTGTGTTACACGCTCTTTGAAAATTATAAAGAAGAATTACGGACATAATGTTATGAGTCGAATAAATTTAACTTATTGCTCTCTGCAGATTTAATTTCATACCTTACATACAATCCTAAAATATATATGACTCCAAAAACGCCAAGCAAGACAAGAACAATTTTGCATTTTATTCGGGTCTTTCATCTACAAAATCATCAAAATAGCGAGTGGGCGTTAAAAATATCAAAATTTGTTTTTAAAACTTTCACATAATAGACACATATATGTACATATGTACTCAATCCCGTCATACATGCATGTACATATGTACCTCATCTCGAGTAGTAAATTGCACACATGTAAGTATGTATTGTACATAAATCGCGACAAGGTGCAAAAAACCCTACACTGTTAGGCAACTGGTAAATTAAATCATTACTGTCCACATAAAGTATGTACATATTGGTGTACAATTGTATAGATGTACGGCTATTTACAATAATAACCGTTTAATAATGTTATGGTTGTGAACAATGACCACTCAGAAACAAACTTCTATCAATCCGGTAGAAAATTAAATATATTCTGTAGAACCAAGTATTTTATTCCTCTCTCAGATTTTTAGATATAAGGGCAGGATGGGTTGTTTGGTGTCAGTTCTTGTTAAGTGGGGGATTAGTATTTGCTGGGGGACGATGCTCAGTGCTCTCTTACTTTCCACTATTTACATACATACGTTTCATGACTCACAAACATGAACCACCGAATGCACCAACCAAGCTGATCTTCTTCTTCAGTCTGATTCAAATCGTTACTTGGTGCGTACATACATGCTTACATATCATCAGAATATGAATATGAATATGAATTTTATTAATCCTTTTTCTTGGCCACTCGGGCCCAGGTAATAATTGTAACACACCAAACCAGTATATCCGACAAGACACAAGCGTGGAAGTGCAAGAGTTTTACTTGCAGATGTAAAATTTTTACAAAAGTGCGTGGTTCACAATATTTATGTACATATATGTACACGCGCTTTCATACTGATCACAGTGATCACTGGTTTGGTTTCGCTGCTGTGCCATTGTTGGACTGGTTGAGATCCACTTTTACAAGGAAAATCTTGCCCATGCTGTTAAAATTTCATACCGTAGTGGGTACACAATTGACACAGTTTTTATTTAAATACTTGCATATTTACTTGTATTATTATAATTGTATTGGTATCCTAATCAGCAGAAGAAGAAAAAGGGTTGGTAATAATAAAAATATGTCGTGAAGACTCGGTCAGTCTCATCTCACCTCCAAACTACTTATTACCAGGTCTGAACAAATCTGAGACCTACTTTGTAAGAGTAAGCATCGTAATTCGTGCAGTTTGTGAAAATAAAAGGAGGACGAAATGACCACAAGTTATCAAATTTCGAACCCCCTGGAAAAGTGTGGATTCTTGGGAAGACTTTGATAAAGTATAAATTTCCCTTGTTTTTTATTCCGGCGAAAAAAGAGAGCAAAGCTGCCGACAAGATGACGATGGCGAACGGCGACTCTGCGACAGAATCATCGCGGGGTTGTGGAAAAAGGGGGCTGATTATTAAGAAAAGCGGTGGTAATTTTAGACCCCCAGAAAATTGGGGTAATAATTCAACACCTCAAGAAAATCGTGGTACAAATTTAATACCCCTCAAAAATGGGGGTAGTGATAAGCGACATCCCCACCGTCGGGCCCCCTTCAACTGGTCCGGTCTCTTGGAAATGCTGCTCTGCGACTTTATGCTGACCTGTTTCCTCCCATTCTTTTTCGCTCCGATGTTCCTCCTCAACATTGTGGGCAGGTGTTTGGCCAGAATTTACCTCTATTTCAAAACTGGGGGGAAAGTGCGCCTAATGCGGGGACAGGATGTCTTCTGGGCGTCAGAGTCACAGTTTATCACGTGAAATTTATCTTATCACAGTTTAATCCGTGCAACTTTACGAGCCTCTATGTTATCGAGGGCATCCCTGATTTAGAGAAGATAAGACACCGGTTAAAACCCAGCTGGGTATGCAAAACAGTAATTTCTTGACACTGCTAGAAATCTGGTATAGTCAGGCAGTTTTCCGGAGTTAAAGTTGCCACCGCCCGGTACTGAAATTATGCCGGTCCGTAAAAATTGTCTATCGATTTGGCAAATCTTTAATACCGAACACTTAAGTACTACGCGGTATTATTTATCAATACCACTTTGGTAGAATCATATACATATGAATACCGCTTAGTATTATTTTAATACCGGATTGGATTTCTAAGAGTGTAGGGAAATGCGGAAAGTGATCACTTATTTACAATTATTTGCTGTGCTGTAATTCCAATTCCACTTTTTGGCCATTTTCAACTTCCAGATTGAACGAAAAGACACTCAAGGTCGACCCATATTTACGAAGCTAAAGCTTAGAGCGGTCCAACGTGCGAATTATTTTGGATGGGAGTACCACTCGCAATTCGACTTGAACCAGCATATCAGATATTTACATCCAGACAATCCCGATAAGCATACGGGTAACCGATTATTTGCATCATTTGTTTCGACTATTTCGCAACTCATTTAGCAAACTTGCCAAGCTCGAAAAATTGGTTTCGGATTTGCAAAATAAATAAGACTTCACAAACCTCATAAAGCTACTTATCGTAGATACATATGAAAAAACCCAATTTTGATGTTATACAAATATTTCCCTGTTTGCCAAATCATTTTGGCAAGTATTTAGAAACATTCCCATTCACTGTAAGTTTACGAAAAAAATCCCATGATTTTCCAGCAAAATTTTAGCGAAATCTTACAAATTTCGTTAGTTTTAAGACCATGAAGGTTGACGTGAGTGCGCCCACTAAACCGTTAAAATTTTGTTGCAGGCGAGGCAGAACTATTTGAAGAAATCACAGCCATCTACGACCGCATTTTACCCCAGGATAAGCCCCAGTGGGAGGTTAGTTCCTTCAGCAACGTTTAATTAACCGTTTAATTAAACCATAAATAAAAAGAAAAATAGTTTTAACTAAAATTAAAATTACAAATTAAATTTGCGCTTTTGGCAAGGTGCTTCTTGTACCGAATTATCACTATGACGATGACACCTCGGGCAGGAAGGGGTCACCCCATTACGCCCTCATTTTCCGTGTCCACCACTCCATCATGGACGGTCTCTCGGCCGCGCAAGGGTTGCGACTGGTCTTTGCGGACAACGTGGTCGAAGCAGGCATTGACCCCATGAGACCCATCAGAGCGACGTGGATAGAGAAGATGTGGGTCAACTTTGCCGCGTTGATGTTAGTGGGTAAGTGCATATCTTGACTTAACTTAACACTCTTAAATAATACCATGCGGTATTAAAATATGACTCTAACAAAGTGGTATTGATGACAGTAATATGGTGAAGTAATATGTAGCTCGGTATTAAAGTTTTATCATATCGGTAGAAAATTTTTACCGACAAATGCAATTTTAATACCAAGCGGGAACAACTTTAATACCGAGAAATCAGTACCGGCCTGACTATTCCAGATTCCTAACAGTGTAGAAATCGTCAAATTTATTCTATTTAACCGATTTTTAGGACCCTACCTACTCCGAAATCTGTACATGAAAAAAGAGACCAACCCATTTCACGGTCCGGCCCTATGTGGACCAAAAACTTTAGGATGGTCGAAACCCATCAGGCTCTCGGTGATTAAGAAATTAAAGGTATGTGCGATTAAAAAAAACAGAGCCAAACGATGTACATACACGTGGTAATTAATTAATGAAGAAATTTCATTAATTTAGGACTCGACCCAATCATCCATCACCGCCGTGTTTACCGCCTGCATAGGAGGAGCTTTCAAAACCTTAGCGGAAGCCAAGGGACACCCACCGCCGAAAAAACTGACCGCTGCCACGTGCGCGGCACTCATTCCTTACCCAAATATCAAGGCACAAAACAGATTTTGTGTCCTCTTCACGCCAATTCATGCTCAAGTGGAGAATGTCCTTGTAAGCAAAACAGTTTCTCATCTTTTCCAAAAAATTCACACAAATATGCATCCGTTCAATCTGCACATCTTTAATTATTTCTCGGCTGTGGGAATTTATTTAAAAAATCTGGACGACAAATTTGTAAAGCAGGTCGGTGCTTTTGTAACACTCCAGATTTTGACACTTTTTGAAACATATTTCGAGTTTAAGAATCCTTCAGAAAAATTGGAAAAACTCAACGCCATTCTCTTACACAACGACACGTGACGTCCAGAATTTAAAAATTCAGCCCCAGAGCTGAGAAATGATTAAAAATGTGTTGATTTTGACAATTTTGGCGACAAGTCCGACCTTAATAAATTATTTTTATGTCCAGGAACGTATCAAACTTTCTCCAGAACCGTTCGCAACTCCCACCCAAGTTGTCATGGCCTACTGGATCACGTGGATCGGTGGCTGCCTTCCCATCCCAATTTTAAAGCTTTTGCAGGACAGGATTTGTTCTGGAACAGTCCTCCTCTCCTACCTGCCCGGTCCGAAAAGCACCGCACAAATTTTCGGGGGTGACGCAATCATCGATGTCGCCGGGTGGTCCCCGATCCGCAACAAGATCGGAATAGGCCTCTGCCTGTTTGGATATAATGACCGCATTCGCGCCAACCTGGTCGCGGACCGGTCCGTCTTTCCCGACGAGGGTGACGTGACCCATTTCATTTCCGCGTTTGAAGGCGAGCTAATCACGTTGGGGAAGACTTGCCTCGGTTTAAGGGAGGAGGAAATTTTTACCTCTGGGGACAGACACCCCCACCACAGGCAGGCGGGATATTATAAACATTATTATGCAAATAAGACAGATCGTCGCTCACAGCAAGTATTAACAAAAAAGCGCTTTAAATAATTTGGAGACAAATCATCTCCCAGGGTTCATAAATATTATAGTGCTCGACTTTTGGGAGGCGTTTTGTCACCAACGGGAAATAAGTCAAAAACACGTGGACCAAATGCACGTGACATCTTCATGTCTAAGAAAAGATGAACTTTTTATCTGAATATTGAATAAGTTACACAGTGTAACATGAAAGATTTGATTTTCTTAATAACGATATCACTTGTGTTTGGTGCTCGAATTTTTGACTTGCTGTTCGTTGGTAACAAATTATCTAGGTAATCAATAGATTGGTAGAGTATGCAAGTACCTTTGCGGGTAACGATTTCTCTACAAATTATTTAGAGTGAGTGACCAGCGACTATGTATAATCTCAATTTTAGTAAATATAATTATTTTAATATTTATATACCTATGGGTAGAGGATGAGGACCAGTTAGTAAATTGTATTTCCTGATTTTTATGCTATCTCAATTTAAATTACATATGTATGCAAGTATGAGAAATGTACAAATAATAGAATTTGTCACTGGTTATAAAATCATTTTGATTTACTTTCCTTCAAATGCTGAAAACTGAATTATTCGGGGGATACACATTATTAAAATTGGCGATTTTTTACCCCTCCCTCCCCCCTCGTCACATGTAAGACCCCCTTTTTTCACCATGTACCGAAAGTTGACCGGTAACGTGACAACTATACATGTAGCCTTCACCTCCATCGCTTTACATATTTTATTAACGCTACCTTAACTTTATTCACCTCTTATTTTTCGTTGAGGAAGAAGTACACAAATGTGTGTACTGCATAAATTACGTTGGCACCAAAATTTCCTTTTAAAGAAATATATTTCCTATATATTTAATATACCTTGGTATTTCGGAGAAAATTCGATCGTAAATTCTTGGATTTTTCCTTCTGAAATTTTGGAATTTTTCATATACAGACCAATATTAAAAAACTAATTTTTCGTGTTTCTCGTCATCAAATTCCAAAATAGGAAAGTTGTTGAGATTTTAATTGGTTCCTATCAGATGTACTTATGAAATCAACATCGTACTTTTATTAAAAAATGAGTAGTCCGAAAGAGGTTAAGCCAACCGTACTATCAAAACTATTATCCCTATAAAACTGCTTATTATTAGAACTGCAAAAATGCCCCACTTGCAGAAAGACTTCTTCTCCCTGTTTTTTTGCTGCAGTGGTTCCGCATTTGGAAAAAGTTTCGCAAATTTTCCAAACAGAGAAGAATGCACCATTGAACTGGGAAAACTTCCCAAGATAGCGACTTCCACGGAGGGAAGGGTAATAATTTTACCCTCCCACCAAATGCAGGTAGTAGATTTGTAACGAAATAAAGCTCCGCCAGGTCGTCTAGGGATATTTCTTCGTCTTCTCCAACTTTTATGGAAAAATTTTCCCCCCTCTGAATTGTAAACTTGAGAATTTTGAGTTTCCCAAAATCACCTCGTTCAAGGGGAGGAAAGCCGATTAAAGCTTGTTGTGGTTGACGTGCAGATTTAAAGTTATGCTGTCTTCCCACCCCGGCCCACGTGACGGATAGTGCTGAAAAAAATTAATAACGGTAGAACGTTAAGCGGGGAAATTCAGGCATGTATCGTAATACAAGTTTGCCAATTTTTGTACACACGGCAAATTTGCACTAAGTACGCAAATAAATAATTATTCGCGCAGATATCTTTACAAATTTCTCGGTATCAAAGTTTCTACTCTCGATGTTAAAATTATACCAGTCAGTAAAAATTTGCTACAAATATGATAAAACTCTAATACCGAGAAATTAATAAATACATACCACGTATCACTTCTTATTACCACTTTTGTAAAGTCATAAATATATTAATACCGCTTTTTATTATTTTAAACTGGGTTTCTAAGAGTGTGCAAAAAGAATTCGTAACATACCAAGTGATTCCAAATTCGTCATTTTCGGCAGAACAATCACGTCCGTGTATTTGACATCTTTTCGGCCTGGGTCCCTAAATTCGAGCGTAACATGGGTCAACGTTTCTTGATTTGCATCGAACAGTTTCTGCACTGCAAGGTGACATCTTAAATCACGTTTCCAATAGGGAAGGTCAAAGTAATGAATGCGGAAATCAATCTTCTCCAAATTTCGAAGCTTCTCAAGGAAACAGTTCGTTTCGGGAAAAACCGGAATTTCAAGTTCCTTAAGCTGTTCTAATCGCAGAGGAAAATTTTTTGTCAATTCCGATAAGAAGCTTTCACTCGGGGTGGCTTCCGTGCACTTGAATCCTATTAATTTTGGCGTCATTGCGACAAACCGGGTAACGATCAGGTTTATCACACTGCCCGGGAAGCAGGACAGATTTTCAAATGTTAATTCGAGCCGTTTTAACTGCGGGAAGTGTAAATTTGATAACGTGCTTTCGACAAGTTGGATTTCCGTTGTGTCCCACGTGGACGCTTTGAAGTCTAGATTAAGGTTTAGTTTCTCAATTTCGCGCGAGTTTTCGAGTATTTTCCGTGTGGAGTGGTTGTTTGTGAGCCTGGAAACAAATATGTCTTTAGTGCTGCTTGTGCTACATATTCAGCCAATATTAATATCAACTTTCAATTTGTTGGGAAATTTTATGAGAGGTTATTTCGTTTTTGGAAAATGATATAAAATGATCTGCCAGGAAAACCGTTCATGTTTTTTTCATACTATTGATATTAACTAAGCAGTAGTTTGTAAACAAATCCATACACGTGGAACCGATCATACATATAAATATATATAACAGACGAAATTTTGCTATTTTTTTTAGCTACTTTCGAATTACTATAATAGATCCTTAATCATTTGATGTACAGGGTGCTTCAAAAAGGACTTTGCCTGGAGAAATTTTTCAATTAATTTTCAAGGATTTTGATTTTTACCAAAATTCGAAACTTGTTGAAATTTTAATTGGTTGCTATCAGGTGTGATTATGAAGGGAAATTTTATTTAAAAATTCGTAGTACGAAATAACTTAAGTAGGACTCTGGATTTAGAATATTATACTTGATACAGAATTTAGACTGCATTTGTCCATGTAAAATGGCGGACACGCAACATATTTATGTAAATATACACTCTACTTTAAACTTACTCATTATCCTCCCGATTTACACCCCAAGATATGCCCAACTCCTTGCTGAGTCCTCCAAGTCTTTTGAAGTCATCAATTAATGTATCCACATCTGGTAAATTCGGTTTGTGTCCCGACATTTTAACTTCGGACTCTGCCTTACTCCACACCCGACTCAAATATTTCGAAATATTGACCTCTCGGAAACATGGGTTAGTTTCCATCGTCAAATTTGCGACTCCTCTCTTTACCTAAATCTGAGAAGCTACCTCTTCAAATTAAATTCACTTGAGAACATGACCTTAAATTTTTTACTTCCAAGTTGCGAAAAATATGGGATAAGATCTGTAAATTAATACAAATAAATACATTTAAATATTTTAACACATCCTTATTTTCATACATATGTAAATGTGGATTATTACGTCTGGATTTGAGACGAAGCCCGGCTCCATTTGCAACTGTTCAATTTTATCGAAACTGCAATGCAGTTAAGTATGTACATATGTAACTTATATATGTATATAATTCCAATTTATCAGTGCGTATTTTGCATCTAAAGTACATACTTAAAAAGTGGTAAAGTTATGGGTGATAAATTTGTGCAAAATGTGAAAAATTGCCGTGTTGTTTATGCCCTGAATTTGTCCGGTTTCAATGGTGAGTAGTCCACCCAATACAAGTAAACTCCACATGCAGGTTTTATTATCGATACTGATTGTGCGAATAGTTTGTCAAGTAGACACGTTTAAACTTGTTGGATAAATTTACAATCATCATTGTTTTTGCAAACATCATTGTTTTCCAGCACAAAAGAAAGCAACTTATGCATGTACATATGTACCTTGTACCAACTTTGTGTACATTCTCAATTTGCCAGGTATTCAAAAGTTGTCTTATCAATGTCAACTTGGTGCATGTTCTTAGAGAGCAATTAGCGAATGATTTATTTATTTATGCGTACATATATTTTTCATCATTACTCTATAATCTGGTTATGGACAAATGCGTACTTTAATACACTTGTGATTTTGATACGGACTTGCACATTAAATAAGGACTCATGCATATTCACGAGGTGCAAAATGTTAGCATAATACTTGTGAAAAATTGCGAGTTGAATTCATCATGAGTTAACTTCTAGCAGATATGTATTAAGTTTCTTAGTATGGACTGTCCGGTGAAAGATAGTGTCAAGGTTCCCCCTATTTTTTCCACCACTTAAAAACTAATTTTGGATAAATAAAAAACACAAAACTTAGCAAATTTGATAAGCTTTTTAAAGCTGAAAACAGAATTTGATTATCTCTATTGGTTAAAAAATGACGGCACAAAATTTCTCAAGCACAGTTTGTCAGCTCTAACTATCAGTAATAATTTGACTTGTATGTGTGTGTAATTATGTCAGTCTGACGAGATTTTAATTTGTACTTTGAAGAAGAAATACTTCAATCCGATTGAGAGCAAAAATTTTATTTATTGATTTTTCTAAGAATTTTTTTAATGAAAACATCTTTTAAATTAAAATTTCAAAAAATCAAACTAAAAATTTAACCTTTTTTCAAGCAATATCAAGATTGTCTAGCGGGTATTTATACCAAAAAGTCAAGCCCAAAATTAGGAATCTCGTGATATTTATCTTTCCATTAAATTGCCACTTTGAAGAAAATATTGGGTGCAAAGTTTAATTTTTAGTAAATGTTCTGCATCTTTTTCCTCCACTGGACGAAAACCAGGGTGGACTTTGAACTTTGCCTCCAATAAATAGTTTCTTAAACATGTCATTCACCAGAAAGATGGGCTATAATTCCTAATTACTGGCTTGATTTTTTGACTTAATTCGCTATGAAATCCCAGTGTAAAAAAGTTCCATTGTAGGTCAGAGTTTGGTATCAGGAGCATCAAATTACACCTAGCAAATTATGGCATTGCTTAGTTGCACATCATTACATTTCTCAAACTACTGATCCACCTAAACGAGCAAATGACTGATTAAATAAAATTTATTCGGATGGTTGGTTAGTTTTTAACTCAATTCTCATAACGGGTAGCGGGTTACGGGTACCCGCACGGGTACCCGTGCGGGTACGGGTAGTTGGGCAGCGGGTAACGGGTCGGGTAACGGGTAGCATTTTCGCTACCCGCGGCAACCCTACGGGTAACTATATAATTTTTCAATATTCCTTAAAGTTCATTTCATCATTCGAAAGGCTGATGGCTATGTTAAAAGCATTGGGAAAATGACAGGTTTTGGTGCAGTTCTCGCCAAATATTTCGCGAAAACGTGATTTTGCACCGCATGTTCTATGATAAAGTTTTAGTTTAACCAAATTATCTGTCGATTAAGGCCATTTGGAAGGAAATCGAGAGGTGACAGTACTTAAGGTTCCCTTGTTAGATCAATGCTAATTAAATTGTCGGATTCATCATGAAGTTTCGAGAATTTTAATGTGAGACTTGAATTTCCAAGTATCATTGCATATTTCCAGATTGACATGTTAAACATGGATTTTCAATGTAACAGTCCAAGTAAATGATAACGCTTAAAATTGCATACTAAATTCGTATATTAAATTCGTTTTTCTCTAATATATAATTTTAGGAATTTTGGTTCAACCTGCCCCAAAATCTACAAAAACCCACAAAAACCCACAAAAACCCCAAAAACCCCGGAAAAACCCCCGGGGTTGGGTTTTTCTAGAAAAACCCCGGGGTTTTCTGAACCCTGCCCCCTCTATCAAAAACCAAGACTTTTTGTTTTTACTGAACATGGGTACGTGCCACATTGCCAAAATATTGACCGGGTACCTCCGAGGGAAAAAAGTTGATTTCGTCGGTAAAAAATACTGCGCTCCAAATGTACCTTAGTGTCGACCCATTGAAAGATTTTGGGCATAAATTAAGAAATAGTACTCTCATGAAGAAAGGACATCAAAAAATTTCGAAAAATTTCGGCAGGTTATAGAGAAATTCATCATTAACATTGGTGAAATGAGTGGCAAAGTGCTCATTAGAGGTCCTCGATAAAGTATTCTCTCCACCGGTACGGAAGGGGTATCTGAACCACTGAAGGGTTGAAAACCTTTGGTATATTCATCGTTCGTATTCCACCAAAGTTTCGTTAGATTTGATTCACGCATTCATTTACTCTAGGTAAAAATAGCTTGACACTTAACTTCACCGGACAGTCCATAATTGAGGCGTTTGACTCACTTTTCCCATTATGTATGTACATATGTATGTATGCAGTATAGGACATTTGTACAAATTTAACTTTGTCCAAATCGCTTGGAGTGAGTAGGCAGCGATTATAATGTGAATTTTAGTAAGATAAATAACTTTAATCTTTCGATACAGGCTAAGGACCAGTTATAGTGAATTGAATTTCATGATTTTTATCCTATTTATGTATCTTAATTTAACCTATGTAAGAGAAATGGTGGGCTAATAAAATTAGTTAATTGCATTTAAGTATATACGTACATATGTACATACTTTTCAAAAGGATACGACTATATTTAAAAGTGCATTAGTATTTACTTATTAATTCGTTCGAGTAAATTTACCTAGATCACGATACCAGATTAAATTCCAATAAGTATATGTATATATGTTTATTTTTATCATGTGAATGATAGCAAGACCTAAACCACCCACCCATTAAAATGATAACGTAATATATGGACGTTCCCTAAGCCAACGCTGTTATCAAACCTATTATCATTACAAAAATGATTATACACATCAACGCAACACCGACGCATTTTCGAAGGGACTCATTCTGCTTCTTTTCCCACTGCAGTTGTTCCGAATTTGGGAAAAGTTCCATAAGTTGTCCAAACAAAGGAGGCGCCACAATTGAGAAACTTCCTAAAATGGCGCTTTCCACGGAGGGAAGGCTAATTTTATCCATTCCCTCTAAAATGGGGGATAATAGATTCTCGGTGAAATTTCGTTCCACCAGTTGGTCCAGGAAGAGATCTTCTTCTCCAATTCTAACAAAGATAGGTTTCCCTTGCTGAATTGTAAACTTGAGAATTTTTAGCTTCCCAAAATCACCCGGTACAAGGGGAGGAAAGGCGATTAAGGATTGCTGGGTTTGAGATGCAGATTTAAATTTGTGCTGTCTAGCCTCGCTAGTCCATGTGATAGATAGGGCTGAAAGTTTGTAAAAGAAGGAATATCATTAAACCGGAAATATGTATGGAAATTTAGCATAGTTCGCAATTGAATTGGTGTGCGAAGGGTCATGTACACTTATTAGGCCCATGCATCATTGTTTTTAAGATAGATATATGCAATGAAATAGTGTTATATTTTTTATCTTCCAACGTTTTTCAAGTTAGATAGCTAGCTTAAAATTTGCGTAATTTTGTGTAAATCAAGAATTTGTAATAAAATTGGCGTGTCCTACGAGCAGTTTGCGCGATACAAGCCAGAATGTGCGAATTTTTTTTTAATCTTGATTTTTTCCCCAAAATCGTCTACCTTGGGTCAAATATCCGTATAAATAATTTTAAAATTTAAATTATTTTACACTAGAATTTGGCCGCTGCCTTGTTTTTAATGGACCATAGACAAATTTATTTCGATCCGCGACCAGATGACCTCAAATTTGTATATTTTCATTGATATGGCAAATCTGCATTCGTCCATCACGGTTCAAAAATTAAGAATTATTGCACTTGTGTACAATTTTAGAAATCTTGTATAATCATGCACGTATTAATTTCTCTGTTAAAGTTAGTATTAGATTATACCAAAACATGCTATATGTATAATACCATTTTGGTAGTCATGCATGCATAAACTTTTGGTACTATTTTAATACCGGGTTTCTAAAAGTGTGCAAAAATAATTCACAAATTTCCATACTTAATGATTCCAAGTTCGTCATTTTCGGCAGAATGATCACGTCACCAGTTTCTGTCGGACCAGGGTCCCTAAATTCGATCTTGATATGTTTCAGGGTTCCTTGATTTCCTTGATTTGCATCCAGCAATTTTTGCACGGCAAGCTGACATCGCAAATCACGTTGTGAATGCGGAAGGTCAAAATAATGAATGCGGAAATCGATCTTCTCCAAATTTCGGAGCCTTTCAAGAAAACTTCTCGTTGTGGGAACGATCGGAATTGCGAGTTCCTTAATCTGCTCAAATCGCCGGGGAAAATTGCTTGCCAATCTCGATATGAAGTTTGCACTCGGAGTGGTTTCCATGCATTTGAATCCTATTAATCTCGGGGTCATTGAGACAAACCGGGTAACGAGGATGTATAACACGTTGTCCGGGCAGCAGGATGGGTTTTTAAACGTTAACTCGAGCCTTTTTAACAGCGGGAAGTGTAAGTCGGCTAAGGTGCTTTCGACAGGTTGGATATCCGGTGGGACACACGTAACCGCTTTGAAAACCAGGTTAAGCACAAGTTTCTCCATGTCCCGGGAGTATTCGAGTATTTTCCGCGTGGTGAGGTTGCTTATAACCCTGGAATCAAATGTTTGGTTAATTACTCAATTCGTTGGAAAATTTAACGTTGGATTAGGTGATTCATCGCTTGTGATGTCAAATGTCTTAAAATCAACATTTTACGCATTTATTCGTTCTGGAAATTTATTTTAAAATTCTGTCCGATCCATTCATAGACCAGGTGAGTACCAATTTATTAAAAATATACACTCTAGATTTTTCCAAGTTTTGAAGGAGGAGACCCAAAAAGACTGAAGGCCTTCAGAAAAATTGAATTATGCACAAATTAAAAATAATATTACCCTTTTGCTGAGTAAATGCACTCTTACGCAAATTATACTAAACCCAGGGTAGTGTTGACTTAATTAAGAGCAAGGTTTTCTATTTATAGTTTACTTGTGTACCCTACGTACGTAAGTTAAATATATAATATAGAATTACGGGTGTAAATATCTACCTAACATTGTATTTAGGACATTGCCAAAATTGAGGACACGATTTACGCATACCCTCCACTTAACTTACGCATCGTCCTCCCGATTTACACCCCAGGTTATGCTTAACTCCTTAATCAGACTTGCAAGCTGTTTGAAAGCATCTAATAAGGTATCCACATCTGGTCCAGGTAACTTCGGGTTGGTCAAATTCGGTACGGATATTTTAACCTCTGACTCCATCCCTCTCCACGCCCGGCTCAAATATTTGAAAATATTGACCTCCCCGAAACGTGGATTAGTTTCAGTCGTCAAATGAACTACTCCCCTCTTTTTCAAAATCTTAGAAGCCGTCTCGTCCCATATTGAATTCACTTGTGAGCACGATTTTAAATCTTTTATTTCCAAGTTGCTAAAAATCTGGGATAAAATCTGAAAATGAAAGACAAAATATGTACATATTTTAACAAGTACATGCATATTTTCAGAAATGTGGATCATTAATTACGTTTGGATTTGACACGAAGTTCGGCTCCATTTGCAGCTGTATAAATTATATAAATTGAAATATAGTTAAGTATTTTACTTACTAATGACGACTATTGACGATATAATTTAGAATTATCATGGCGTATTTTGCCATAATCAAAACTGATTTCTGAAATACTTATTTTCCGAAGCATCTATTTACAAACAGATAAAATTGTTGAATAAAATTGCTCAAATTTTGGAGACTTGCCTTGTTATATAATAAGTTGGCCAGTTTTTCAATGGTAGCCAGTCGTGAGTATGTATGTATGCATTATGCAGGTTGTTAGAGAGCAACAAGAGATTTGTTTACTGATTTATATCGATATTTTACATCTTTAACACATACATATCGTCGTACTAATTCATAGAAGACCTAAGTGCAGTCGATGCTTAATTCATAAAAGACCTAAGTGTACAGAAAAAAGTAAGAAAGACCCTTGTGCAAGAATGTATTTACTTATGGCTAAATCCATATGAAGAATTGTTTTGGCAAGATATAGCCAGAAGTAAATACATACTTGCACATAGGTCTTTTTTACTTTTTTCTGTACACTTAGGTCTTTTATGAATTAAGCACCTTCTGCACAAAGGTCTTTTCTGAATTAAGCATCGACTGCTCTGAGGTCTTTTATGAATTAATACATACGACGATATGTCCATATGTATGTAGCTTTACACATTAGTGGTTTTAACACTTACTTGCACAACTAAAATTAAATAATGCTCCAGGCATATTCACGAGGTGAAATATATTAGCATTATTCTTGTAAAAAACTCTGACTTGAATTCATTATCAGTTAACTTGCACAATATAAATATTAAGTTTATTTACAATTATGTATGTAAGTAACTGAGGAGTTTGATTAACTTTTCCTATTACACACAAACGTGTAGTAGATAAATGTTTTGACAAAAATGTGTTTGAAATTCTATTGTACATAAGCACAAATTATGTAAATACTATTTGAAGATATCGTAGTATATACTTATACTAAATAAATCCGTATCAATGCTTTGGACGGAAATTGTTACATCTTCAAACAGAGATGTAATTAACCTGTGTAATCGCACTTACTATACTCACTGCTTCATATGTATCTTACCTAGATATTAAAATTTGTATGTGTATTTGAACAATTGAAATTATGTATATTTACTACAATTATAGTTTTGCTCAAGGTTTGTGAAGCATCAACTCAATAAATGTAAATTTATTTATAGGTCCAACCCAATTAGTTTACATTAAGCAAAACATATACCTGCTTCATCAAATAAAACAGCAATTTACTAAGAAAATATTTTCTTGAATATTCCCAGGGTTAAATTAAATAGTGCTGCCAAGTAAATATATGCCTTTTAGACATGGTTTAGCATACTTTTGAGAAAATACCATTCCTCCAGGTTGCAATCGGTCATCTATTGACAAGGGGAAAGCACTCTACTTATTTTATTACTCGCCCTCCAGTCGTCATTGCAGAGCTGGTTGGAAAAGTAGCACTCTTTGATAAATTTAACACAAAAATTTCAAGATGCTGACTCTTCGAACACTAAAAATTGTTGGGATGTACTCCACCTTCATCAACAACATAGTTGGATGTACCCCCTTCTCCTGGAATCCTGGAAAACAGCTTCTTTACGTAAAAACGGATACTTCCTATGCCCGCTTGGCTGCGTACTTCGCCAGCTATGGTCAAGCTCTTGGGTATATGGCGTATCTATTGTGGCAGGCGTGTCTGGTCTTATCTCACCCTGTGGGAACATCCATCTTCGAAGTGCTATGGCTCATTAATTGGATCAACAGCTATGTTTGGCAGATATCGTCAAATCATTCCGCATGGGTTAAGAGACACGAGACCGTGACAGCTTTTAACAAATCGGTTCACTTGTTTCGTCAAATGTCCTCCGAGAACAAAAGGATTGCTCGAATGGCACCAATTATTTGCACATTGAACATCATCGAGCTCTACTTTCTCATCACGATCTTTATGATGGGGCAGTTCGCAGTGGCGACGGTTTTGATGTTTCTCGTTGTGCCGGGCATGATCCAATATGTGTATGCGGTTGTGGACGAGAAGTATAAAGTTGGCGTGGTTTTTGTAGGATTTGTAATTTTTGAGGGCTATTCGAAATCGTCGATGGCGTGTGTGATGGGTACGGTGGGGTTTAATGTGTTAATGGGGCCGCTTGGAACTAATTTTTGGCTGAGGTTTACGAATAGGTAAGGTGGTGTAATGGTAAACACGTCTTAAAATACTAATAACTTGTTAAACTAATACGTTAAGGAACTACTACTTCTCGTTCACAATTATTAAATATGTAGTAAAGTCCTCGCTTTTTTAGAACGTGAGGTGGACTAGGTTGCAGATTACAATATTCTTTAAACATATTTATTAGTGAGGGAAACCTATCATCGGCCATATAACCTTTCAGATTTTTAGTCATATAGGAATTGTTGACCAACTATATATGTACATAATGCTACCATGGGACAATACAATTCTTCATGTTATGTTAGTGACGCTTTCGTTTGATTACAACTGAGGTGCATCAAGTACTGGGCAGTTTTTAGTCTTCGTACCTGCGTAACTCCTCTGTCAAATATTTTATTGAGTCATTGTATCTCTCCCTCTAGATCTCAAGGATTGCCCATTTCCCACAAGATCCGAAACTATCACCGCCTCGACATCCTAATGCGGACTGTAAACGATTCTTTCACCTACTTCCTCCTCTCCGTCATCCTACTTTGCTGGATTCCTTGCACAATGGCGTCAATAAATGGATTCGCGGCCATTCGGTTTCGCCCGGTGTTGACCCTCTTTCAGTACTTCCCATTCCTTGGACTTTTCCATAATGGGATGTGGATGATTGCAATTGTCCTTAGGCCCTGTGCAGGTGTGTATGAAGAATCCAAAAGGCTAAAAGCTGCCCTAACTAGACAAACTTGTCAAGGTTTCGATAGTCAGAGCAAGTTTTTTCGGAAGCAAGTCAAGGCTTTGAAACCGTTCGGAGTTCGGTATGGAAGTGTCCGAGTGGCGAAAAGGATTGATATCTTGCTCTCATACAGTTTCATTGCGGATTATATTTTCACGCTGCTTCTCACCTTCCCCGCAGAGGCAGTGGCGGCTGGGAAATAAAATTTAAAAAATGGGATGTACCGTAACTTGTGATTTTCTTGGCAAAATTGCACTTTTCCATTGACATCTGACATCTATTGTCGTTATGATTTTACTTAATGTGTAAAGTTGCAAGAGAAATATGTAAGAAATGCTTAATGTTCGGTCAGCGTTTATGTAAATGAACATTACCCTGTCCACTAATTTGACCTATTTAGAAGGTGAAGTTTTATTGATAAGGTGATTAAATATAAATGCACTAGTAATTCTACATTAAGTAAACCATACTAAATTATTATTATTTTGATGTAAATAGTATAACGTACTTATTATTGTTCAATAATAAACACATTCCAAATTTAAATTTAGAACTTCGAATTTAGACTTCATTTTTAAAAGTGTGCGCTTCTGGTATCCATTTCACTGCGATATTTTCATATGTACATATGTACAGGGTGGTTTAAATGTCAGGTTACAATGGAAAATTTTTCAATGGGAAAAATTCGTAAATTTCCATTAGTTACGGATTTGGGATTGAGATTTTTATTAATTTTTATCACAACTAATGGAACACTGATGACAAAATTCTTAATATATTGAATTTCAAAGGCAAAATTTCGATAACTAATGGACTTTTGCGAATTTTTCCCATCGACAAATTTTCCATTGTAACCTGACGTTTAAACCACCATGTATTTAATGAATTTAGTGCACCCATTGAAAGCTCATCACGCCGAGTTAAACACCACCGCCACAATTACCACAGTTGCTATCACGATTGTAATGACTAAACCTACCAGTATTCTAACAAAACAGGTGCATCCAGCCTTTTTCTCTTTGTCATGGCTCCGCAATTCTACCGCGTTTGGAAAAAGTTGTAAAAGTTTCTTAAAAAAACTGCCATACAACATTGAACTAGTCCAATCTCCCAAATTGACGGTTTCAACGGAAGGGAAGCTAATCTCATAAGTTTTCCAAACAGGGGCTAATAAGTTTTTGATAAAATTATATTTCACGAGATCCTCCACTTCGTATGTGCCTTCGTCATTGACTGTTACAAAGACACGTTTCCCTTCCTGAATTATAACCCTGAGAAGTTTTAGTTTCGCAAAATTCCCTCGTTCAAAGGGTGGAAAGACGATTAAAGATTGTCCGCTTGGGGCTGCAGATTTGAATTTATCCCGGCTTCCCGCCCCGGCCCATGTGACAGATAGTTCTGAAAATATTTAATAAGGGTAGAACAGTAAACGGGGAAATTCAGGCATGTATCGTAAAGAGTACAAGTTTGCCAATTTTTGTACACATGCAAAATTTGCAATAATCTAATAAAGTCCGCAAATAAATAATTATTCGCGCAAATATCTGTATTAATTTCTCAGTATTAAAGTTCCTACTCTAGATGTTAAAACTAAACCAGTCCGTAAAAATTTGCCACTAATATGGTAAAACTTTAATACTGAGCAATTACTACACACTAAAAAAATTCACCAAAATTTACTCAACGTTGAGCAAAATTGCCACCAAAGCAACAAGTTGGATAAACGTTACTCAAAACTGAGTAAAATTTGTCAAATTTTGCTTATTAGTCGTGCAATCCCGGGCGAATTTTATCCAACAGTTGGTTTGGTAGCAATTTTACTCAACTTTTTTTGCAGTGTACATACCACGTATCACTTGTTATGACCACTTTTGCAGAGTCATAAATATATAACTACCGCTTGGTATTATTTTAAACTAGATTTCTGAGAGTGTGCAAAAACAATTCACAACATTTCATACCCAATGATTCCAAGTTCGCCATTTTGGGCAGAACGATCACGTCCCAAGTTTCTGTTTGGCCTGGGTCTCTAAATTCCATCTTGACATGGGTTAACGTTCCTTGATTGGAATCTAGCAGTTTTTGCACGGCATGAAGGCATCTCAAATCTCGAACGTCAAAATACGAAATACTGATATCTATCTTCTCCAAATTTCTCTGCCTCCCTAGAAAACTTTTCATTTCTGGAACAATCGGGATTCCAAGTTCCCTTAATGGTCCAAATCGTGGGAAAATATTTTCCAATTCCGAAGATAATAATCTTTCCCTCGGAGTGACTTCCATACACCTGAATTCCATTAATCTTGGCGTGATTGAGACAAATTTCGTAACGACCAGGTTTACGAGACTGTTCGAGAACAAGGATGGATTTAGAGACACTAATTCCACCCGTTTTAAGAGTGGGAAGTGTAAATTTGCCAAGGTGGTTTGGATAATTTGGAGAATTCCCGTTGTGTCCCACGTGATCGCCTTGAAGTCTAGATAAAGGACAAGTTTCTCCATTTCGCGCGAGGATTCAAGTATTGTCCGCGTGGTGAGGTGGTTTGTGAGCCTGCAAACAAAAGTCGGGTTATTGGCGGTTTTTTAAATAAAAATTAAGACAAAACTCTTTAAATTTTTATAAGTTAAATCTCTTTTTGGGGCTTTGTTGTCAAATATGTAAATCGTGCCAGTTAAGGTCTCAGATTTGTTGTCTAAACTAATTTTACTGTAACGTTTAGTTTTTTCATACATCTACCAAAGGGAGGGCGGCCTGGTGGATACGAATTTGACCTTGAATAACCCCGGAACGGTTTGTCGTAGCGGGTCAAAATTTTGAACAGACGAGCATGTTATCCTCAGATAGTTGTGTGCAAAATTTCAGCCTTCTACTTTGAAAAATGCCTGCCCCACAGCCCCCAGAAGCTGAGACAGTCATTTCAAATAGTTCCAGAAAAAATCTCGCCCGTGTTTGCAAAAAATTTTATTTGAATATTCTGTTGAGGAATAGAAGTGAGCTATTGGTGACAATTGACGAAGAACTATTTTCCCTACAAGTTACTAATTGGGTTGGAAGAGCTTACTACACGACAAATGCCGAAAAAAAATTCAAGAAATTTGGTGCTTTTCAGTGAGGAGAACTTTTTTAAACAGTTGATGGTCGTGGGTGCAATGTCCTGTCGTGGTGTCCTCCCACTTATCAAAGTCCCCCAAAAAGTGAAGGAATCTTCGAAGTATTATGTGGACCTTGTACTGAAACCACTTTTAGAATACAATTTTCCTAATTTGCACGGTAAAATAATAATTAAGGTAATTTTTATCGTGACGCAGCGTCTTCCCAGACGGCAAAGTTGACCCAAGATTATGCAAATGACCTTGAACCTAGATTGGGGATAAAAATCATTTGGAATAGTGAAATACCTATACAATCCCCTGATATAAGTCAAATCGACTTGTTGGAGTTCGGATAGATGAAAAGAAAATCTTTCTGTGGGGACCGAATTTTTTAGACGGAGTTTGGAAAAAATTGAAATGAGTGTCTCAACTTCTGGGGGCTGTGGGGGAGGCATTTTTGAAAGTAGAGAGTTGAATTTTTGCACACAACTATCTGAGGATAACATGCTCTTCTGTTCAAAATTTTGACCCGCTACGACAAACCGTTCCGGGGTTATTCAAGGCCAAATTCGTATCCACCAGGCTGCCCTCCCTTTAGTAATTCATGGAATTTGGTAACCGGTAACTCGAACCCAGTCGGGTTACCGGCGGGTCGGGTTTTTACCGGGTTGACCAGACCCATCCCACCTCTACTTAATGCCCTCTATTCCTTAACTTACACATTTTTCTTCCCATTCACACCCCAAGATATGCTTAACTCCTTAACGAGACCTCCCAGTTGTTTAAAAGCATCCATCAATGTATTCACATCCGGTCGAGGTAAATTCAGTTTGGCCAAATTGTGTGCCGATATGTGAACTTGCGACTCCACTCTGCACACTTGGTCCAAATATTTGAAAATATTGACCTCGCCAAAACCTGGATTAACTTCCGTGGTCAAATTTACGACTTTTTTCGTTGCCAGAATCTTAGAAGCGATCCCTTCCCAAATTAAACTCACTTGTGAGCATGATTTTAAATCTTTTATTTTCAGATTGCTGAAAATATTGGATAAAATCTGCAAATTAAAAAAAACATGCAAATAGTTTAATACACTGCATGTTTGTTTTTATAAATGTGGATTATTATTACATTCTGATTTGAGACGAAGTCCGGCTCCATTTGCAACTGTACATACAATTTTACGTGAATTAACATATAAATAAATATGTAAATATGTGACTTACTACATAATGATCACATAATCCCACTTTATCATGGCGTATGTATTTTACATTGAAACTTTTCAATTTTGCAAATATTTTGTGGAATTTTTTAAGTACATGCAAACAGGTAAAATAGCGGGATAAATTGGGACCAAAAAACCTCATTGTTTGCCAGGAAAAAAGATCACAAAATTTGACAACTTACCTTGATATACATGTATATATTCCCAGTTTTCCAAGGTTGCCGTGAGTGCGCCCACTGTATGTAAACTCAGTACAGGTTCTGCATTTAAGCGATTGAGTTGTTTAAATATCTGTGTATCGCTATTTTTCATCTCTAAGACACAATCTGTGTACAAATAAACATGTACGTGCTTTTATACACACATTAGTGATTTTGTTGTGATACTGACTTGTATTACTAGCTAGACAAATAATGAGCCATGCATATTCACGATGTGCAAAATGTCAGCATCATTCTGGTGAAAAATTCTAGTTGATTGAATCCATCATTGAAATTGAACTTGCAGCGTATGCTTAGCTTATTTAGTAAAATAAGAGTTGTACTTTTATTATTGATACACATATCTTTAAAACGTTAGTAAATATTAAACGGTCCATAGATGTGTCGATATGCATAAATTTCTAGCATGGAAGAAATCCAAGGAAAGAATCGAATGTTGTGTTAAATATCTTGTCGGGCATATTTCTTATCTTATTTATTTCCGTATTAAAATGTGACACGCCTTAATAAATACATACACTGCAAATTTGAATCTTGTTACAGTTAGAAATAATTATATATATCTTATTTAATTAATTTCAGCTGTACATAGACTGGGTAACACACATACATACATACGCCTATTAAACCGTCAACAACAAGGTTATCGTATTCTCCGCAATATACTTAATCGCTAACGGTTTCAAATTCTTCCTAACTGCGCCAAATGCGCCTACCTGTATACCCAGTGGTCTCAGCGCTTTCCACGTCTTCCTCTCAAATTTCGATATGTTTCCCAAATTCATTCTCTTCCTTAGAAAAGTTTCTGAAAATTCAACCACATTTGCCGCCTGTGGTATCAAGATGACCACAAAACACGTCGCTAACGTGCCTATGATGGGATTCGTTATGTAAACCAACCACGGAACTTTTCCATACATTCGAATCGTACCATAGTATGTTAAAACGATTACCGAAATTCCAAAAAATATTAACGGCGGGACCGAAAATGAACAGAAATTTTGATTCGTGTACTTATTCCAGGTCAAAATTTTCATGTAGAGCTTAATTTCTCGGAATCTTTGGAGCATTCCACGGCCGTTTTTGCGAGATGTGGTGAGATCAGTGATGATATCGTTCATCGAACAGACCACCATCAGCCCGATGATGAAAAATCCACTGACCGCCTTCATCGTGTCGAGTACGATGAGAATGAAAAATCCGTACCGGGCCGACATGATGGACATGTTTCTTGGGGAGTAATCATAGGTGGAAAATAAGTCGAAGAGTGGATCTACGCCGAGATAGATTGGAATGACGACAACGATAAAGGGAAGAACAAAGGTGTTCCAGAGCATGAGAAACATGCAGGTTTCTATGATGGCGTATTTTTTGTGACGGTCCGTGTTGGATTTGGTGAGTTCTGAAATTGATAACGGATAGGTTTTTAATAGTTTAAAAAGTTTGAAAATTTGTCTGCTGTTAGAATAAAAAAAACTATACATAGTGCAAATGTGTATATTCGTTAAGACAAGAGTTGAAAGCAGAATACGTTTTTTGCACCGTTAAAATCCAAAAAATAGGCTTCACCTAGCCGCCCGTCATTTATATTATTTACTTGTAGACATTTTCGAATAAATGGCGCTTATCGATTTTATGTATTTCTTGCTAAATTGTGTAGATGTGCAGAAATAGTGTAACTTGTTTAGTGCCACCAAACAACACATGCACGAAACTACTCCAAAATACTCCTGCAAGAAATTGATTTTTGCACGTTGGTTTTTCCGTGGCGAGTACTGCATCCAAAAATCTAGCAGATCCAACAACTACTGCACTTATTTAAACGATATTTAATTATTGAGACCAAGTATTTTTACCTGTCGTTTCCATCTGAAATTTTGGAATGACATTAATAATGACCGGGGCCACCTCGGGTGTGCAACAAATGACGTAATTCATCGCCAAAAATGCAGCAGGTAGAAAGGCGAACAGTACTTCGATGTAGGTCCGTACCACCGCACTCGTTGAATCATCTTGTCTCGATTCCAACAAACTTCGCGTGTAAAACTTTCTTATCAAAACGCCGAAACAAAACATTGTGTGAAGTGTTAGACAAATCATGCTTGAAGGGATGAAATATCTTTTTTTCGAAATTATTGAACCGAATTGTAGCTCTTTATTTGAGAGGTTAATTTTGAAATTCATTAAACCCAATTTGTTCCCGAACAGGTTTATGAATAAATCGACAAGTTTCCACATTCCGTCAGTTGCCATGATTTCTGAGGAATTTTATTTAGAATAGGTTTGTACTTACATAAATTCGGAGCTCGCTAAATACTTACTGCGAGGAAGGTTTTCTACTAGTATGACATTTTTTAAAAGTAATTTTTAGAGGGTTTATAAGAAAATTATTTAAATATTTTAGAAAGCTTTAAATACATACACTCTTAGAAATCCAGTATTAAAATAATACCAAGCGATATTCATATATGACTCTATCACAGAGGTATTCATAAGTAATATAATTTAGTAAAGTTCGGTATTAAAGTTTTACCATATCGGTTTTACCAAATTTTCCCGCACCGATATAATTTTAATACTAAGCGGTAATAACTTTAATATCGATAAATTAATACCTGCCTGACCATACAAGATTTCTAACCGTGTAGTAATCAACGTATCTACGTAGATATGCTAGCCAACTCTCGAAATTGTGCATGATATAACTTTGAATTATTAAATAAGAATATTAATCGGTTCAGGGTTTGCAATTTTTTGTTTCATGAAGGCAATTATTTTCGACATATTTGTAATTCGAGTTTTTATCAAGTTTGATATTTCTGAAAGAAACTATTGATTTGCACGTGTTCTGACGAGTTTCATATGGGATACGAAAAAAGCATGATGAAAAATAACACACTTATTTAACACGCCGTTGTAAAAACGACGTGCGTGGGTTTGGACACGAATCGCTATGAGTGCTTACCATAGGGCGGATATGTATGTACTTAAATTCCTCAAAATATGTATGTAATATGTACTTAAAAATCTCGAAAATATGCACATAAAAAATATTTTCCAAAAGAAATTTCCAACCTTATATATATTCTAGATTTGAGAAGATGCAAATTTTTAACACTCTTATAAGTAAATTATGTCAGAATTACATTTAAATCTTCATTCAATGACGTATAAGGCAAGACCAGTTCCATGTCAAGATTTTCTAGTGTAATTTTTGGCTTGAAAAATGCGGAAAATTGGATTGGCACATCGTTCACACGAATTGACAACCGATTATCATGGCAATGTAGATAATTTTGAGAAATTCTTAATTTCTTAAGGAAGAAAAATATTTTTGCATAAAAAAACTCGAAATATATATTGAAATATTTATATTTAGAAAAATACTCGAAATATGTAAGGAAATCTGCATATATGCATATATGTAGGGAAAAACTTTAAAATATGTATGAAAATATGTATATGTACGAAAACCCCAAAATATGTAAAATATGTAAAACTATGTTTGAATTTTTGGGATCCTACTAAGATGGGATGTTAGTGGACGAAGTTTAAGTACGATCTGATTTGGTATGCAAAAGTTAGAAATACATACATATCCGCCCTCTGGTGCTTACATACATATACCGTCATGAATCAAGACTAAAAGTATTGATTGGATAATATACGTACATACATATAATCCAATCACTACTTTCATTGCCCTTTAAGAGATAGATATGTATTTCAATTTTTTAAAGGGTAATGAAACTTATGCACTAAAACTTTGCTAGCCATTGATATTAGCAGAGATTAAATGGTTAATATTTTTCTACATACATATACGTACATCCTATCTACTTATACATCTCAGAGGAGAAAATTCATGTTTTCTTCCATAAAAGCTTTGAAAGTACTCATTAAAAAATTTACATAAATTATGTATGTACATATGTGTGTATGTATATATGTACCTGCCAACTTGTTGCTAAAATTTGGTACTTGTTTGTGTGTCGGTAAAAAAAAATGATGTGATCGATATCATCTGAAGGTACTAATGAACATTTTTTAAGTCGATTTTACCGGATCATCAAACTAGTTAAAGCAACTGTTCAGTGGATAAAAAATATCCGAATCAAAATTTCAATTGAAAAATATTATTTGAAAATTTACCAGTAAAACTGGAAATTAATAAAAATCGGTTAATTCGACCGTACATTTATTTCCCTAAATTGCCCAATTTACGTATTACTTAATTATTTTGAAATCAATTTATTTCTGCACTATTAGAAATCCAGTATTAAAATGATGTGTGCGAAACGGTAGCAGCTTTAGCATCGAGAAATCATTTCCTGCCTCATCTTACCAGATTCGTAAATTGTGTGATTGGTAAATCTTTCCATAATTTTAACTTTATTTATTTTTCAATTTCATAATTCCACAAGTTTATAAAAATTTACTTATGTTTGTATCACACTTTTTGCTTCCTTTTACACCCCCACTCTTCAAAATTCTTCCCTTTTCTGCTTCCTGGTTCATGGTGGACTTCGCGGATCAGGTTTTCATAAATTTTGACATCTTTGGAACAAACATTGGTCATATTGACGGATTGGAGTTGTTCCGGCGTCGAGATGAGTTGTCCGGCGAGGCGGATGTAATAAAATTCTAGAGCGTCCGGCTTATCTCCCCCGTAGCGTTTGGATAACTGGTCAGCGCCAATTTCGTCGCGAAGGCGGGCCTGCCATTGTTCCTTGTTTCGACCGAACATGGTCGTGATTTCGCGCAGTTTGGGGGTAAACACGCCCTCGTAGAGGTTCCAAAGGACGTGAATAATTTCGGGGGCTGAAAAGTTAAGAATTATTAATTTGCAGTGATGTAGAATGTAGATAACAAAAAGTGTGCAAATTAGTGTGTACAACTTACTGTTTACAAAGTACATCTTTTCGATAAGACCGGGATAATGGGATTGTAAATTTCCGAGAAAGTAGAGATAGAGTTGGAGACCTGATAGGAATAAAAAACGCCTAGTTTTTAGAAATTTCCGAGAATTATTCAGCCAGATGTTTCTAATCCTGGCAATTTTTCGTATTTGTAAGGAATTTTAAATTTTTATAAAGTGGAACTTTGCAAAATAATTTTTGGCCGACATTTCACTCGATTACTATTTATTTGCAATGCAGTTTTAAATTATATTGTGTTTGGGTTAAAAAATATTGAAAAAATTAACAAATTACTGATACAAAATTTGATATTATTTTGTAACTTACATCTTGGGCAGGTATGCGTGATGGCGTGAAATCCACTCATATCCATGATTATCGTTGCTTGCACAATTTCCATCCCGGCCGAATTCGCATTTCGCAAAAAGGTTGTAGAATCTTCATAAATTTTGTCCATGTAGCGCATTAACCGATTACCAAGTCCGGCAAGGATTGCTCTAAAATAAATTTTTCAAGTACAAAATTTACAAAAAAAACAAATCACACTTTTTGCAAATATGCATTTACCGTCTAATGTCCCAGTCTCCTAATGGCACTGATAAAACAGGTCTATTTAGAGGGTCACACCCCTCCAAATAAACGTTGTACTCCTGATCAAATTCTGGAAATTCTTCATCCAGCAATTTATCAATTTCGTTTTCTTCTCGCCATTTTAGCATCTTGAATAAATAAATGATTAAACTTGTTGAAAACATTTTGGAACTCACATTTTCCATTAACCGTTCAGCCGCATGGACATCAAAATTTGTCTCTGAAATAAAATCAGGTCTTAGTTTTACACAAATTTCTCACATTACAAAAAAATATTAAACTCACGGCGAAGAAATCGAATCAAGTAAATTTCCTTTTTCATGTAATCATGCTGCAAAATAGGCGATATTCTGTCACGAAACTGGTCAGACATCACAAAAAATATTAATATCACACAAACTAATTGATCAGTTAAATCAATTAATTAATTACCTCATCTAACTTCAGCTTTTCTTCAAGCGTTAGTGTAAAAAATTTTGTATTATCCCCTTCCACAAATTTAACAAATATTACGAACAAAACCACAAAATTTGTGAAACGTTTGAAATTTTTTTCACACATTTTTGTCTTTTAAGGAAATCGAACTAAAATAACTCCGTAACTTTTATCTACTTATGCAACAACTTCACGGATAACATGCACTTCTTGCATGCAAATGTGCGAACAACAAAGAATAAACTGCAAGTTTTTCCTCCTCCACAAAATTCGCGAATGCATGCATACCTACAAATTGAGCGGAATCATGCAGTGGAACAGACTCGATTTTTGGCTTGATCTTCTCGCACTTGTTAATTTTTTTTGTGCAAATCGAATGTAAAACTTTGACGTGCAAGATAAATACTTATGACGCTCGATTTCATCTTCACAAATTTAAGAAAACAATTAACGTAATTGCATTGTGGTTAACGAGAGTGGATATAAACCAGGTAGATATGTACATACAATCCGACCTTGGCCGGGTTAACTTTTCTCTGCCGGACTGGACTAGACAGATGAATCACTAATCATTAAAAAATTATATATGCAAATTTATTATGATTACATACTTAATACTTATATTTTTGCAAATTGTGGATATTTTCCACAAATCATGACGATAATCAATTACAGATACACCTCATCGCCTACATAAAAATCTAAATGGTTTGTAGAATCGAGTTGAAGTTTGGACTCTTCTGACAGGATTTTTTTTGCCTCAAAAATAAATGCACAGCACTTCACTTTTCAATCTTCTCACACAAATTATTAAATAGTAATGATTTGGGTGAGAAGATGTGTTAACTGGGTAATGATTCATCACCCAGTTTACATAACATTACCATTATTAAGTAGCGCAAGCTACTTTATGCGATGACTTAGTTAGTCTGTCCGTCCGTCCGTCCGTCAACACGATAACAGGAGAACGGATCGAGATAATCGAAATCGGTTTTCGCCATCATACGTATGACCCTAGGGGGAGGATCCCCTAAGCTTTTGGGGGCAGCCGGACCACACCCCCCGGGCGCCAGTGGGTGTGGTTGGGGCAAAATGAGAATTTTACAAAAATTGAATCTATGGATGAAGGGCAGTTAAATTAACTGTTCCCAAGTTGTGCCACACCCCCTCGCGCCCAGTGGGTGTGGTTGGGGCGCAGTGGGTGTGGTTGGGGCAAAATGAGATTTTTACAAAAATTGAATCTATGGATGAAGGGCAGTTAAATTAAGTGTTTCCAAGTTGTGCCACACCCCCTGGCACCCAGCGGGTGTGGTTGGGGCAAAATGAGATTTTTAGAAAAATTGAATATATGGATGAAGTAGAGTTGAATTAAGTGTTCCCGAGTAGTGGCGCACCCCCGGGCGCCAATGGGTGTGGTTGGGATAAAATGAGATTTTTAGAAAAACTGAATCTATGGACGAAATAGAGTTAAATTAAGTGTCTCCGAGTTGTGCCACACCCCCCGGGCGCCAGTGGTTGTGGTTGGGGCAAAATGAGATTTTCATAAAAAATGAATCTAACATGTTGGACAAGTAAAACAGTAAGATTGATTAATTAATTAATTAAGATTGATAAAACAGTAAAACATGTAAGATGCATGATTTTTCAGAGTGGCTACATATAAATGAGGAAGTTTTAATTATTTTTGAAATAATTCAGATTCTGCGATCTATATTTTGTATCGCATTATCAGCATTATTGCGCTACTTGTGTACCCTGCGTTGCCGCAGTTTATTTCTAAATACAATTTAAGGAGCAATAAGTAACAACATTTTTATAACCTTGTTGAAATTTTAAATCAACAATTTTTTCTCGACATTTTATGTCTTCACCTGTAAAAGAACGTGCGTAAATCATGTTGTTAATTTTTACAGGAGTCACAATATCTCAAGCCTTAGTTTTAAAACTTGTCTTAAAATTAATAAAACCATTTAAGAAATCGAGCAAATACATAATGTTATTTCACCCAAGATTTATTATTTTGCATAAGGTGCATGCATAATAAGTATGTATGTATGTAAATATGTTCTTACGTATGTACACACACCCCCAAAAGCCAAGGTACAACATTTACTCTCAACATATATATGTAAATCCGGTTTAACCAATTGAAGAGACAAGTAGTTTTTTTGCACAATTTACGTATCTACTTTACATAAATTCATCTTTTTACACCGGAATATTATTTATTTCTGAGAAAAAAGTTTACCCCGATAATGAGATTGTGCATGAATACGTACGCACACCCAGTAAAACAATGCCTTGCGGATTCACGAGTCGTGATTTATCTCACCAACCTACGTCATATTTGAATTATTAAATTGCATCTGCATCACAAACAAGTACATATGTACATATGCCGAAAAATTTACATAATCTTCCCTGTAACTTGCCACTTCTTTAGTTTCAATCAAACACGTAAATAAATAATTTACATATCCAATTTCTACCTGTGCAGAACCAGGATCCAGGTTATCAGTGCGTACTTCTCTTCGCCAATTAAAATCCCTCATCGTTGGGTGCATTCACGTCAACACTGTATGAACATAAGTTTTTTCATCGGCTCTTCTTTAGCAAATAGTTTGCACAATAACAGCATGCCAATTTATAATGGGTAAATTTGCGAAAAAGTTTCATCGTTTCTCGGTAAAAAATTTGAGAATTTTAGAAAACTTTGCGAAACATGGCGAATTATGCTCCATTTATGTCATGCATTTTAAATAAACCAATATAACTAACTTTTTTCAAACTTTAATTTATTTTTCATTTTAAATTCCCATCTCATCTCAATTAAGAAATTCTTCATTATAATTGCACCCTAAACTAGAAGAACCATCGCCTAAATCGTTTTTCGCTTTACTCAACATATTCTGCCTCCTCTCCATGACAACGCTCATCTCTTTAATGAAGGTTTCATACATGGCGAGATCCTTTTCGCAATTGTTGTGCAGTTTGATGGCGTCGACGTCGTGGAGCGCGGAGACCATGGTGTGACCCAGGCGGAGGTAGACGAGTTCCAGGGGGGCCAACTTGTCCCCGCCGAGTCGCACGGAGAGGGACGAGGGTGGAATGGCCTGTTGCAATTTGGCCTTCCAGTCGACATCTTGCATCATGTAGATGGTCGACATGGCCTTAATTTCTGGGGTGAATACTTCCTTGTAAACGCCCCAGATTAATTGGACAATTTGGGGGGCTAAACAAATCAAATTTTTTAATGAGAAGGAACAAAAACGCTAATATTTATTTAATTGAAAAAAAAACGAAATGTATTTTGCGAAAAATAAATTTTGGCAGAATTTCTTGCTAAATGTGAAAGCAAAACAAAAAAGACAAATATTATGAAAAGTTAATCTGAAAATAAGACCTTTTAAAAAATAGATAAAATTTATGAATTTTTCGAAACTCTTTATACAATTTTGAAATTGTAACACCAAGAGGTAGAAACTTTAATACCAAGAAATTAATGCTAGATTTTTAACAGCGAATATTACGAAATATGAATGCGAAAATACAAATGGAAAACAATTTACAAATTTTGAAACAAAGTACCTTCGCAGATATGTATAATATTTGCAAAAATAAATGCATAAATCTACAAAAATGTGTTTAAAAATGCAGAATTTAAATTGATGCAAAACTTTCAAAAAACACGTATCTACTCAAATTTGCGCATGCAATTCTCTCCTCTGCCAAAACAACATGCAAATTATGTAAATTTCACTTACTATTCACAAAATAAATCTGCTCCACAAATCCAGGATAGTGAGTTTGCAACGTCGTGAAAAAATACAAGTACAACTGTACATATCGGATCCATACATTTCGGACAGCCATGCGTCTTCATGTCAAAACCGTCTAAATCCAAGATCAGCGTGGCCTGATACAACTCTACCCCGATGTCATTCACGCTGCGCAAAAAGGAGGTCGCGTCCTCAAAAATCTTGTCCATGAAGCGCCTCAGTCGCGGTCCTAATCCGGCTAGCGAGGCGGACCGGATATCCCATTTCCCGATAGGGACAGAAATCACGGGTCGCCCGGAACGGTCACACCCCTCCAGATAAGTTACATACTCTGCCTCAAATTCTGGATAATCCTCACTCGATAAGGCGTCAATATTGTTTTCTTTGCGCCATGTGAGCATGTCCAGGATGAGTGACGTGCTCGAGGAAATGTTGAACTTGGAGGCTGAAATTTAGGTTTTTGAAAATATTTATAATCCAGGAAACCATTGTTAAATCAAAAATTTTGGGGATGGGGTAATTTGTAAAATATGTTATGTAAATTTTCCCGATTCATGGAAATTACCGTGCAGAAATTATGACAAATTTTTAAATGAAAAAATTAAACTATTTATATTTTATCATAATGTGCAAAATAGTGTAAATTTCTCACGTTTCAGAAATCTTAGCAGGAATTCGTCACTTTCCATGTAAAATGCTGTCAAATTTGGTCCGACACGTAGGCGAAACTAGATACAGGTGTACATACATTTAATTGTTTTTAAATAGGTGTATGTATGCATAGTAACGCAACTATTAAAATATACTCGCTTCAGAGTAATTTTGCAATTCACGAAAAAATATGACACAATTCATCCAGTTCTTTGTAATTTTGTAACATTTAACAGCCTTCCGAAATTGTTATGTGCATAGATGTATAAATATTCACATAAATACATATGTACACATTCTTATAAAAAATAACCTAAAAACACAGTATTGCTTATGTATTTCAAAGGCAAATTTATGTACCTTAAACTAATTCATAAATACTAAAATAGCAAAAATTATCAAAAACTTGCAAATTCTCACCTCATCCAGCACTTCTCTTTCAGACGGTGTTAAATCGAGGAAATGTTTAACTCTCGGGTTTCCATTGTTGTCTTGGGCATTTTCCTCGACATCATTAATTAATCCATTGTTCTCCGTAACGTCTTCCTCACTTTGTTGAGTAAACACCGAGGAGCAAAACAACACCAAAAATATGTACAAACATACCCCTCCTTTAATTGAGGATGGATTAGAATGCATTATGAATCAGGGTATGTAATCTTATCTGCTCAAAAGCCGTGTGTGAAGAAGGAACTTAACACTACCAAATCAAGATTAAAACTGCGATGCACTCAGAAAAGTGGAATAAGAGAGGAAAACTGGTGTAAAAAATTTGTAGCATGTATGTACATATGTACATCTCAAATACTCAACAACGTAGCTTAATACATGTACATAGTTACTTAAATATCTATTAGGATTGCCAACTATGTTCATATGTATATGTATTTATATGGAAGTTTGTATGAAAAAGCGTCTACGTATTACCTATGATTAAAGCTGTTTATATGCAATAAACACAAATTAAGTATGTACTTATGTATGTACATAAATGCATACATGCATGCTTGCAGATATGTATATACATACCTAAATATAAATTTGACAAAAGATTCCTCAAAAACCGGAGGCAAAATTTCCATGCAATAGAAATATATGAGAATTACTCGCAAAACGGTTTGCGGAATTCATAAGTATTTTAATCAATTATTCAATTTTATTAAATATATTATGTTAGCATATTTTTAAACTTTATTAAATAAATGGGTAGAGGCTTTAATACTCGAAACTTCAAATTTCTATTAAAACGTTATATTTATAATCTGTAGGGATGCCCAGAGTATTACCCGCCGAGTACATACCCGGCATACTAGGCCTTTTTCGAGATACCGGTACCCTGACTGCAATTTTAGAGTCGCCACTTTACAAGGGCGATTAATTTATATGTTCAATTTTCTTGCTTGCAATTCAAACCCTTGCAAAACAAATTCCAATCCTATGGATTTCATTTTTACACTTTGTACAAAGAAGATATTCGGAAGGAATGGGTACAAACATGGACAAATCTTAGATGAAGCTTATCGCATAAGATTTAAAATTACTTTTCATACACCAGAAAATATTGTCATTTATGTAATATCGAATTTTGTAACTTTCAATTACTAGCATATACATATTTTGTTTTTATTACTAGAGCTCCGACATTGTGGATTGATTAGGATTTAGCCACTGAATATGTTATCTTCAGTTATCAATTGTTACCGGAGCGGCAATGTACTTCCGCCGAGTGCAACTATACCAAAAATTTATTGAGAGTGTGGAATTAGGGAAGCTGCCCAAAACAACGCTACAAATGTGGGACTAATCAATGCCATAATGCGTTCAGGAAACACGCTGAGTCAACACCGGCTCAAAATTCGACGGTGGTCCCTGCGTATGTAGACAAAAGTATAAAATATCAAATCCAACTAGTAAAATAAGAATTAAAAATGCAGCAGTAATCACCTTGAACCTTACCCAACCAAGGAAATTTCTGTCTACGACAATCACTACCGCTACGATAACAGTGTGATAATAAAGCTTCCTGAGAGTACAAATTACAAAAACATAAATGCCAAATCCTAACACCTTGTTATACTGGTAGCCAGCTCGTTGCATTACAAATATTTGGAACATATCAAAATCAATATACCACCAAGGAAGTGTATACTTCTCGTCATAATACAAGATCGAAATTATGCAAGAAAATAAAATCTGCGCGGCAAAAAGGATTGAACTGTCATAACTCCGGTACGAAGACAATCTAGGTTGCATCGACGAAAGTATTACGGAGCACCACACCCACAGGTGAATCGTTGTACCAATATTTTCCAAAGTATCTCCATATATAGAAATATATGCTCCCGTTACAAAAAGTAAAACCAGTAGAACCCACAGAATAATACTTATCAAGCGATTACTAAGTTCAAGCGTGGAAAACCCTAACTTATGGATCAGTTTTGATACATTTCGAATAATTTTGGCATTCTGCGTTTCCGTTCGTAGTAGGATTAGTTCTTCAAGCTTTTTGAATTGTTCAGAAATCATTAATCGTTCATGCGCATATTTTCTTTCACGCATGTTTTCAACGTCTTCATGTAATTTTCTAAATTCTTCAAGCATCCTAATTTCTTCCCTGGTGTTGAATTCTTCAAACATTTTGAATCTGTAAAATAGGGATAATGGTTCACGCTTTTGCTTTAACTCTTCGCTCTGATATTTAGGGTCTTGACGCATATCTTTAAGTCTAAGACGCATGTATTCAAGTCGATGATGCGTATATGTAAGTTGACGACGCATATCACTGAAAAGAAGGCCATCTATGGATTCGACGAATTGGTGCATTCCGAGAAAATTATCATTCATATTTTCACATCCTTCACCCATAGTTAATTCTTCCACCTTGTAATTACGTTCTAGCATTTGCAATTCTTGGAGAAACCGTAATAATTTACTCATCAGGTCCAAGTCTTCCAAAGTCCAGGTATCTTCAAACTTATGTATTATTTCGCGTATATTAGCTCTTTGGGTTACATGTAGTTCTCCAACCTGATTTAGGACACTTCTTTCCACTGATCCTCCAGTCAAACGGAAGGCCGGAAATATATACGGAAACATTCCCCGTATCATCGATCTACCTGTTCGGTTAAAACATATTCATCAGAACATCATATTCAATAGTATCCTTTCATTTTCGATTCACTTCACTTTATGTGGCTACATTTCATACTTTACCCCATGTATTAAGCATAGGGGAAAAATTAAAAGAGCATTACGTCACTTACGCACACTCATCTGATAAGCAAAAATCAATCATAAATAAGAAGAGAAAATTCATACTCAATCACTATACACATGTAATTGATCACGTCAGTGATTGAAAGGCAAGAGGTATGATCCCTGAATCAAATTCTGAGAATTGTTTTTTAAGCGCTGAGAGTGTAAATCTAGTTCAGACATTCGGGACATATACATACATGCATATGTAAAGGGTTGTCAGTTAATTTCTCCCCACTTCCTCTTGCAAAAATACGAAAGCGTATTTCTCAAAACTGTGAGAGGCAACAAACGAAATTTTTTCTTCGAACACACCTCAGTATTTGGGCTTTCGATCACCCACGCTAACCTTGTCCTAAACTCTTTGCTTAAAGTTCTGTGCTAATTTTTGCAAAGTGGTTTTAGGTATGGAATTGAACTTTTCTTGAACTTTCATTAATAGCTCCTTTTTTGTGCGTGGTTTTGGATCCATGCACATATCCTAGGTAACTATTGCCCATTGGTTCTCCAAAACACCCACATCCGGATTTTTATATAACCACACCCACTTGCTCCAAGCTCTCTTACCTTGCCCTTCACATAGCGACGTGGTCGTTTTTGCCGTGTCAGTTGCACGACCATCCTGCGTGAAATGCACTGACTAACATTTGGAAAAAAATCCTTGTTTCTCATACTACTAAAGTATTTAGGTCGCATTTTCTCCATAAAATTATTTTCATCGACATTTGACACATTTGCATAATATGTAGGGTTGTCACGCCACAAGTGAAAAAACACACGCTACCATAACTTTCGATCCAAATCTTGGGACACGCATGGGTGGTACATCCGATTTTTTCACCGCTTTATATCTTATATCTTGTAGGTTCAGTTCTGGATATAGTTCAATTGGGCACTAATTACCCTAGAGGATATGACGGCTTAGTTCTTCACACTATCTTTTTTCACCAAAATCGCCACTTTTTTGAAGCATTTCTCCAAATTCAAGTCGGGCATTAATGTTCTTTTGAAATAATAAAGTTTCCTGGGATAGTTTATAAGTTGTGTGACTCGAATTCGTCGATTTTGAAAATTCCTGCATTGTAGTATTGTAAGTTTTCTTGTTTTTAGTTTTTAAGCGTTTTGAGACATTTAACTATTTTGAAAAACGAAGTTCCGAACTTCCGTTTCCTGATGAATCTTGAGCTTCATTGTTGTTTCTGTAGTAGCTGACATCTTCGTACGTCGCTGAGACCGTTTTTGGTATTGAACAAAATTATTGCGGGACCGCAGCCTTACCGGTTTCCCAGCACATCATAGTTTCTTCGATTTTTCTTATATTTTTAATTGCTGCGGAACTAAAGTTTTTGTCGGAAATCTATGACAGTCACGATCGACCTTTGGTATTGGTCTACTCATGGTAAAATTTTCAAAATTAAATATTAACAGGTTCAGGAATTGCAGCTTAATTTAGCTCCGCGGGAGTAGTAAAAACTGACTGGGGAGAAATTAACTGACAACCCTTTATAATATATAGAATACTGCTCGATATATAGAATTGCTAATTTCTGCATTGAAAATGACTAAATGCCGCTAAACAATTTACGTTCATATTTATGATCACCTACGAATTGATTTAGCCATATATGCGCCGGGTTTTAATTTGTCTTCAACGTAGGTAAACATCTTGGTCAGATAGTCAACATCAATATCCCGCTGGGAATCTGACACTAAAGACAGTCTAGCCCTAAAAAATCAAATACTTTTAAATAAATGATAATATTCTTATCAGCGTTACAAATCTCGCAGTCACAAAGGTTCACCTCCCATACAAGTTAAAAATGGATACGGAATATGGGAACTATGTGGCTAAGGGATTAGTCATTTTGCATCAATTTCAAATTTTACTGATATCTCATTTTTAATAATTTAGGTTAATTAATGTTCTTTTATCTCATGGAAATACTTCCGCAATGTTGGAATTTTAAATAGGAGAGAAAGAATTTGAAAAATATGTATAATGAGGGTATTCATTATTTCTTCATATAGTAAAATAGTTCACGAAGAAGAAAAAAGTGGTCAAACTAAGTACAAAGTGTAACCTTAGTAACACGAAATCTTTACAAAATCTCGTAACCGTCGTAAGTTAAATATTTTACGATGCTTAAAATACCAAGGATACCTACATAAGAAAAATTAATACCCTCGTAATTTTCAGTATGTATTTCTCATTTTAGTTTTGCAGTTGGGCACAGATATTTCAGAGGATTAATAAATTGGCTAACCCATTCCGTGCAAAATCCTTCCGTGAGCGAGACTCACCAACAAAAATGTCATCATCGAAAGTATGCAACAGTTTCCTTCGTTCTTTTATAAATCCAACGCCCTTAGTCTCGACGAAATTTTTTCCTTTCTTTATTTGCACGCATTTCAATTTTTCGAAAATATCGGGTGTGCCCTTGATGAAGTGGACAATATCCTTAACGATGTCGAACTATTTACGAGGGAAAATTAATAAGCCAGTATTAAAACCTTGAATTAATTACATAAATTAAGTATTCCATATCTGCTATCCTAGCCAAAAAATCTCATCTTAGTTGTGTACATAACTTAAAACAGAAATAAACCAAACGAAAAAAAATATATGAAAGTTGTGAGAACTTTGAAACGCTGTAAGAATAAATATATCGGAGAGAGTGGAATAGAAATTAATAGATTTTATTTATTGAACACCAAAACGTTGTGAACAGATGACAGAAGAAACTACAAGTCACCAGATTTCCTTCATACATATGATTCAAAATTAGCGAAGAGTAGCGATCGATTAATTAATCATGATTTACGAATTAAGAATTGGGATTAAGGATTAATAACCTTTAATGCTGAACCTCAACAAAAATTTGTGTGCAATTATTCCTTAATCATTAATCCCGACGAAACATTTTAATGCCATTAATTTATTATCTCGACGAAGCCTTGGTAAATTATTAATCGTTAATCATGATTAAAAGTAAGTTTATTGCAATCATTAAACTAAGTAAAGTAAAAATTAAATTAGTCATTAATCAAGAATAGCTCAGGATTATTTAATCCTTAGTCAGGAATAACTAATTATTACTTAATCCTTAATAAATAATTAATCAGGATTAATTAATCCTTAATCCCTAATCGCTAATTCAAGATCAATTTGAATTAATCCTTAATGCTAGCCAATTAAATCAGTTAATTAATTCTGAATTAATCTAATCTCGCCATAAAATTAATCATTAATCATTAATCCCACAAAAAATCACTAATCGAATAAGTAGGGTTGCTAGTTTACTAATATCTATGAAGTAGATATGTACATATGTACGTCAACCAATATGAATTCATATGTATGTATATGCTCATCTCGCAGGATGAAGATTAACCCCATATGTCATGTTACTCCATATTTAAATATTTCTTTAAAAAGTTTACCCAATTACCTGGCAGGACATAAGAAATAACTTTCCATTATTGAGATAACGTAATTTGTGTTTGTACATTTCACAAAGAAAGTTTCTGTACGGGATTCAGATATGTACTTAATCAACAAACAGTACACTGAATCGGATCAGAATTTCTAGACTTTTTTCCATTACCCAGATCTGTTAAGGTTATCGTATAAATATATGCAAATATGTAGAACTAAGAGTGGATCTACTTTTCAGAAGGGTAAAATTGTTTTTAACATTTCATTAGAATCTATAGACAGCTAGTTTGATCTCTGATTACAACATTATTCTCATTGCTTATCCTTACTCTTACCCATAGATCGCTATACTTGGCCAATCTAAACTTAAATAATTCCACGTAAACTCCAGATTCGTACGCAAAATGGACAATTTCAAATATAACTTCAGGGTATTCCACGTTTAGTTGGATCGAATACAATTTTGGTGTTTTGTCCAAGTCAATTTTGTACACAGGGTTGGAAATAAGTTTGCCACGAAAAGATGGTAGGCGTTTCCATTTATGGGTAGCCATATTTAAATTGGATACAAGAAGGTTCAAATTAAATAAGAATGAGGATTATTTATTTTTAACTGTACGTATTGAAATTGAGCTGCCCTCACGCTTGCAAAACTAGATAAGGGAAGATAAACCTTGATAAGTTATCATTTCTCGCCTCTTGAAGCTTTTTGGATCATTCAAATTGATGCCGTCCGAAAACTTGTTAGTCGAACGAGAGTTCTTGTTTGAGATCTGATATACTTACGTAGTAACGGAGGTATGACGAAAAACTTGAAGCAAAGATATGTAGCTTATTAATCATGTAATTTAATTGATCAACCACTGCAATGTAACTTTATGGGTGTTTGTCTGAATAAGGTTAGAAATAAACCGAATACATATGTCCATAGTAATAGAGATATTTCCTTATCGGTATTACACCTTCTACGGTTTGGTATTAGAATTTGTAGATAAGTAGTTAGGTAGAAACTTATTAGTAACATGATAAAACTTTAATACTGACTAAACTAGTAAATACCACACTATACTGCTTATCAATCCCACTTTTCTTAGAAACATTAATACCGCTATATTTAGGAGGGGAGGTTGTGTACTATCAACTCCCGGATCTCGATGCCCTTTGGATATTTTGTAGTGTCCCATGAATGTACAAGAACCCTGAAGTGGTTTGATGCCATGGCCACATTTGCGCCCGCCACACCCACTCAAATGTGCCCAAAAATCGCTTTCACTCCAGCTTTCACTCATTCAAAACCACGCCAAAAATCCAATTTTACTCCGATTTTCAAATTTCTTTCACCATTATACTCCCAGATAGTTGCTTTCTTATTTCCAACATCAAACTCAACTTTTTGGATGATTATTTCGCAGGCATAATTTGTTTTGTTGATTACTACAACAATGCTCATTCAGAATTTTAAATTTTAAAAATACTAAGAATTTCAAAAAGTTGAGTTTGATGTTGGAAATAAGAAAGCAACTATCTGGGAGTATAATGGTGAAAGAAATTTGAAAATCGGAGTAAAATTGGATTTTTGGCGTGGTTTTGAATGAGTGAAAGCTGGATTGAAAGCGATTTATGGGCACATTTGAGTGGGTGTGGCGGGCGCAAATGTGGCCATGGCATCAAACCACTTCAGGGTTCTTGTACCTTCATGGGACACTACAAAATATCCAAAGGGCATCGAGATCCGGGAGTTGATAGTACACAACCTCCCCTCCTTAGTGTAAAACTGAATTTCTAAAAGAATATGTAAACTAATTGTATGCATATTTTGTAAAGTGCATAGTATGTGCAAAACCCCGTTGACATAAATATCACATTGGGTTTACTCAACAGAGACCCTGTTGACAGTAAACTAAAAACTGATAACTGATAACCAGAGGACGGTTATGTATGTACGTAAATTCCTCAAAATATGTATGTAGTATGTGCTTAAAAATCTTGAAAATATGCACATAAAATATGTTTTCAACTTCAATTTTCTACTATATTTGTGAAAATATAATTTTGAGAGCACCTTCATTTCTAAATGAGGAAAAATATTTTTACAAAAAAAGACTGAAATATCTATTAAAATATTTATGTTTAGAAAATCCTCGAAATATGCAGAGAAATATGCATATGTATGAAAAAATCCTCAAAATATGTTTGAAAATATGTAACATGTACGAAAACCCTAAAATATGCAAAATATGGAAAACTATGTTTGAAGTTTTGCGATCGTGCTTAGATGGGATGTCAGCATAAGAAGTTTTAGTACGATCTGATTTGGTATCAAAAAGTTAGAAATACATACATAGCCGCCCTCTGCTGATAAGATTATTTGGCTGATTAATGTGCACAGCTCACTCAGTTTAAAACTTTAAATACTGTAAAATTTAAAATGTATAACTATAAATTCTAAGACACTTTAATCGTATTCCATATACATATTACATTGTGACAGGAACGTAACTAAATACTTAACCAAAAAATAAGTGTAACCTTTAGCGATCATAAGTCATAGCTTCAACTGGAAACTGACCACAATATGTTCCGTTGTGATCGAGCCCAACTTGTGGAGGCGATCATGTTAGAAGGAAATCGCCAATTTCAAGGATTAAATGATTTGTTTGGCGACTGTTTCGGTTCCCTAGTTTCGGAAGTTATCATTGTTGATCCATACATTAAGACGGCTATCCAGGTAAAAATAAGTATCCGTAATAAAAATTCATAGTATTCATATGTATCTACGTAAGTACAGGTATGGAAGTAAGTCAATGTTGTGATCATAAATATGTAGACACATATCTAAATATGTATGTACATAAAGTGTAAATTATTTATAAAGGATGGCCCTAAGTAGGATGCAACGTGCATCCTACAGATACCTATAAATATATATGTATGTAAAAATGATACACACATATGTACATACATACGTAGATTTAAAAAATAATCACGATAACGTAGTACTTACATATCTGTATTCGCATTACTCCATCCTGCACTCTAAACAAAAATAAGGAATATTTACTTAAGGTTGAGTAAAAAAAAAACCAAAAGATAAAATTTGTCCAAAGTTGTTTAAATTTTACTTATTTTTGTTTAGAGTGTGCATATGTACATACCGTAAGTACTGTATTTATAGCCGGGTCTTGAGTCCAAGGTTGAAAATTTTAATAAGCTCATCTCTGATTATCGAATTAAGTAGTTTAATGACTGTTCTTATGTAGGTGCTTCAATTTATGCATAACCAGGAAATAAATACCCTGGTCTCCAATTATGCCAGGTTTGTAATTGTAGCATGTCCTGCCCTTAGGATTAGAGCCGGCTATAAATAGAGTATTTACGGTATGCAGATACGGAGCATGCTCTTTAAGCAGACTCGAAAAATTTACAAACCTTTAATTTACACATTTAAGTAAAGCAAGGGGACGCATACATTTTCAAAAATTTCTTTTAATATTCTCATGGTCAGGTTTCCAAGTCACTTCTCAAATAATCTCGTTTCTTAAAAAATAACTGATTAAGACGCGACATATAAATACAGTTGTCTATAAGTATACGTACGTATTTATTTAGATAAGAAATACTTAACCACCTTTACTAATTACTTTCAGCAAAACGGTCTTCTAATGATGTTAGGATTAATTAGGGACAAGTGGGCGAATTCGCCTCCTGTTCCCCTCAAGATCACCTTAATCACAAATAACGACCTGGACATGGAAGTCACAAATTTCCACGCACATGAAAACGACATACGGGAAGACAGTTATGGCGGAATATTCGAGCATATATTTACTCTGCACGACAGAAATTTAGTAAAGTTTAAAGTCGTTGAAATTCGATGGGTTCACGACCGTTCAATAAGGTAAGTAATAAAAAATATTCCAGTAGTTTACTTGGTGTTGCAATGTTTTATTTAAGTATAAAACTACTACGGGACTACCTTATATACAAATACATGCGTACGTAATTATCTACTTATTCAGGTATACCTGATTATAGTGTATAATATGTATACATATGTATGTATAATCAGTTCATAATTTCTGTAAGAAATGCGAAATGACAAAAATGCAACAAATACAGTATGTATATGTACATGGTCCACTCATCGGCTTAATACTCTTTATACCACACACATCATACCATGGAGCTCCCTAAAGGTATTCACTCAGATTTTGACCAAACTAATATCGATCGATCACAAATTTAATTAACACACAAGGCGACAAAATTGCAACCGCAGAGGAAAAATGCATCATAAAGTTGACAAAATTGTATGTACTCCTTCTAAATTTATTGCGTTCTGCAAATTTTGTATGAAATAAATTAAATTTACTGTGCGGTTTTTTTCTCTTCAGATGCAAATATATATCTTCTAAACGGTAGTATCGGGAGATATGTATGTACCTATATAGCGCCTTGTGCTAATTTCGCACGTACATAAGTATTTACTTTATGTACATATACATACATAAAGTAAATTTCTGATCAATTGACATAAAATCGTAGACCATACGCTGGGAGAACTCCATTGTTAGTTATGTAATGTGCCATAAATTTCCCGCTAAATACAAAGATAGCACTTACCTGCATAAGTGCACGTGTACATATATCTTGCATTTCCTGCACTCGTGCAAGAAATTCTGCCAGCAGGATAATAATCGCATGCAGTAATTTTTTGAGCAGCGAGCACATCGTATTTGTAATGTTCACACGATACAGTTTTCTAAATTTGTAATGATTGGCGTGCCAAAAATGTGCACACGATGTGACTTTTTGAGAAGTACACTTGGCTGAAAAGCAGTAATTCTGAGTCCTGTCGATTTAAAACTGCAACATTTTAACATTTTTGAAACATTTTTTTTTCTTTAATAATGTTCTAACAACGTCGACCAGCGAACATGTTTTACAGTGTCGAACATTTTAACCTAACAGCGATCTTTTGGTGTTTTGCATGTATTTCAAGTCTACTAACCAAGATGGACGAGACTTACACGGTTTTTCAAGTAAAACTAGGGAAAGGGCTGGACATCACGTTTTGCCGGTGTGGTTGCCGTTACCCGAGAGGCGCATCGCACCAAGACGTACTTCAAATTGATCCTAATAATTTACGAACCCGAATGTGCGAAATTACAAAACTTCACTGGCAATTTACAGAATTGGTGAATGCTACAAAATTTTTCTCCGCTTTGTTGACATATTATAAAAGTGGTATTATTAGACCATTTTACTGAATGAGGTGTATGAATGTAGCAACAATAATGTTGCGTCTTTGGCCGAGTTTTATTTTCTTGGGATGATGTATGTATGTAGATGGTCTCATTTTAATTTATCCGAAACTTTATAAATATGAATGTACATTGTTCGGTATATTTAAAGTGGTTGAATAAATTGTTTAAAAATTATTTTGGAATACATAATAAACAAATAATAACGACATATTTTAGCCACAAATCGCATTTCAAACATTGTTGCAAGTCTGATTGAGAAATTCAGTCCAAAACTCTGCATATTCATTGGGTGACATGAACAGCTTGGAGGTTATTCTCGTATGTATAAGTCTTTAAAAAATTATGGCTTTAAACTAGATTTTTGACTATATATTACCCTAAAATCATAATTGCATTCTTCCAAAGTATTACCGATTCGCAGGGTTCGAAAAAACCCAGGGTTTTAATCAAAAATTATAAAACCCATGGGTTTTAATGGGTTTTACCATGTTAATTGGGTTTTATTTGGGTTTTAATGGGTTTTATTGGGTTTTATTGGGTTTAAATGGGTTTTATTGGGTTTTAATAGTTTTAAGTAATAATTTAACAAAAATTATTCGGAATTTGTATCTATTCGGAAATTATTTTTGTTTTACAACACTTGAAATCTGTGATGCTAAAGAATGGAGTCAATTGTTGCTTTGTTCCGAATTTTCATATATTATGATAGTAATGAAATAAACTGCTTTAGAATGAATTGAGATAACGTCTTTTAACGTATAGGAGATGTATTTAACTTTTAGAATATAGTTTTAAGGTAAAACTCGATTAAAACCCAATAAAACCCATTAAAACCCAAATAAAACCCACTTAACATGGTAAAACCCAGTGGGTTTTACTCATTTACAACCCATTAAAACCCATTAAAACCCAATAAAACCCAACCCATTAAAACCCAGGTCGGAATACCCTGCCGATTCGCATCCACATCGATGGAAACAATTATTTCAAATGATCCTAAATTGATTAAGCTAAATCACCTTTACTTATTTCTATAAATTTAATATGTCTGCGTCATTAAAAGCACATAATTTAATTTAGAAACTACTACATACCTATTTTAAATTTGAAAAGACAATGCATACATATGCACATACGCCAAATTCAAGATTATTCCATGAATTTCGAAGTATGTAAGTAGTAAATATTGGCAAAATCCTTATCAAAGTAATCTATATATAAAATGAACCAAAGGTCTAATTTATCACAGTAATAAAATTCATCAAAGCAATAATTGAACTCGTCAAATCAAATATTCATTCGTCTCCTCATAAGAAATTTACATTGCAGTTCTCCTCATTTTCTTCGATAGCTTCGAAAATAAAACTTCCATTTTTGTATACGAAGAAAATTAAACAAACTACTTCGGTATTTGAGTTCACATATTTCTTCCATAACTAACAAGCTGACGACGATACGATCTACCTCTAAAATAAAATTTCAACATGGAAATGCAACATTTTTTCGGGAAAAAATACCCGCATTCATTTTAACTAAAAACTTTACAACTAGAAATTTTGCTTGACTTATTAAACTGGAGAAATAATGTGGCGTGTTGAAGCGTTTGATCATCTTCGTCGCGGTATTTTAGCCACACATCGCAACTCCGTGCATACAGGGTACTTTATTTCCTGGGATGAAAAGAAGCGACGCGCCACACCCCTCAGAAACGGCTGGCATTACGGAAGTTTCAAAACTTTTGGGATATTTTGCCTCCTCATCTTTCTTGATTGCAAGGTTTATGCAACTAAGGGCGGCTCTAAATGATGAAATTGATAAAGCGGACGTAACAGAAAATTTGACAGAAATCTGGTTCACTTCTATGCAAATTTGTTACGCCTTAGTTATCTTGCCAATCGTTTGGTATTTCATGCGGACATCTGGTCCTCAACAGTTTCTCGCTGTTTATTATTCCCTGCTAAATTTTAAGAAGAAATTACAAGGTGGGTAAAAACCTAATCTATGTATGTAAAGATAGATCCCTAAAACGGGCGGCTTGGGTAACTGCGACTAAAATACTTGCAATTAGCAACAAACCATAGCATTACCACCACGTGAGCAGTGGTACCTTCATTCCTGAATATCGTGGTCATTTCTTATCCGATTTTGATTATCTCAAGGTTTATGTATTGAAGGCTAAAAATATTTATAAACTTTTTTTCACAGTACATTTTTGATTTAGCCTTTCAAATTTTTCATAGGAAGCAATATCACTTTTTGGAGGGTGTTTTTTGAGAATATCTCAGGAACGGGTAGGGTTACAACCGTGCCAAGTTGGAATCCAAAAGTAGACCATCATAATTAACTCTCGGCACTTATTCCATAAAAATCGGTTAAGAAATGGTAAAGTAATGTGGTTTTGTCACTTTTGAAAGTTGTAGTAAATGCATACTTAGGTGTTTTTTAGTCAGTAGATCACCATAGCTTCACCTAAGAAAAAGCCCGCAAGTTGATGTACATATATTAACGATTACCGGTATTAACTTCAAGAAATTTTAATTTCTTAGATACGATACCTCCCGGAAACTTCACTGCACGCCGAGCTGTAATTTATACCACGACGACGCATCGCATTTCGGTCATGGGCATCATCTTCTTCTCCACGATTGACTACATAGTCCCCTTGTTTTGCGTGAGTCTCGCATATTCGCACAACCCCATCTACGCCATGCTTGAATTCAGCGAAACATTGTCCCCTAGAAATTCGCCCCTGGCAAAAATATTGCTTGGTTTCCTCGTCTGGGTAACGTCGATCATGCTGGCATCCACTATTCGCCCCGTCATTTTGATATTCTTGTATGGAATCGTATCCCTCTATTTGTGGACACTTTTCCTCGTTCCGACGTCAAGCTCGGTCAAATTCTGCTTATCGTTTGCGAAAGGGGTAAAAATTTACAGAACGCTCAAGGTCATGACCCTGGTTATGGGTGAGCTTGCCAGTGACATCGTCGTCCCCAGAGTTCACCACGTCTGCGCCGTGCTCTGGACAACTCTGGCGTTGTACTTCCTAATGACCCATATTTTCTTGACGGGCGAGACGTCGCCCTACATTGTTATCTTATGTGTCGCAATGATACTGATCTCTGCGTTGATGGAGTGGTTCGCTATTGGAATGGTTGCGATGGGGGCGACATTGTCGAAACGCTTTATTCGCGAAATGGGACGAAATCATGGCAGGAACAAGTACAGGAGACGCGTTGTGGGAAGTTTATTACCGAATTTTATCAATTTGGAATTCGTTACTACTGTGAACACGATTAGGGAAGGGATTCAAAGGGTGTACTTTGCAAACTTTGTGGCCAGGGTGACCAATAATACGATTACTTTATTACTGGCTAGGATTATGTGAGTTAATAAAATTAATTACGGACTTAAAGAATGACTTGGCATTTTTCCGAAAATTTTCAAAATTTAAATGCTTATACCATACTGAAAATAATACAAGCAACGGTTCGGTTAATAATTTTACTTTTCAAGTAACAGTAAATGTAAATAATGCAAATACGACTCGACGACTGAAAATCGACTGATATTTAGTATCCAGGTTGAATGTAATTTTATAAAAAGGTGCATAAATGAAGAAAGTATTATTAAATGCATCTCTCAAACCTAACTTCGTAAGCGGCCTAAAAAAGCACCCGCAGTCGAAGGATGTAAAGTATAGCTGCTTCAAAGGTTAAACAAAGTCGATGTCATGAAAAAAATCCGTCAGGCGAAGAGTATTGTAAAACTACTCACTTACATTAAGTCATCAATTTATTTGGTTCAACGTGCAGAAAGTACTATTCGTTACACGTCATGATGTAAAACTTTGTCCCTACACATATGTACATACTAGCAGTTTAACTTATTTTAAGCTGTTATAAATCTACACGGTAAAATAGCTTATTGGTATTCAACATAGTTGGACGGTTTCCATGGTGCAGAGTGCAGTGACCCAGAGGCGTTCCTTGGATTGGGACGGCCTGGAGCACATATTGAGTCCGGCCTTTTCAAAACTGGTGTAAAATATCCAGTCATTAAGACATTGTATGTATGTATCTTGCTTAAAAGTGGGTCGTAAAATTAAGCGACATCTAGGTCACTATGTCTTCCAAATTGCGGGGTAAAGTTTACATGAAAAAATATTCGGCTCATTTTAATTTCTTTATCAATGATCGTAGTTATAATTTGTAACACAGCTCATGGAGTAAGAATTTTTGGTGAAAATTCCACTGTCGGGGTCCCATAGAATCAGTATTGAAACCTCATGAAACGGTATCCAGAGAGATCCATAGTTTAATAATAATAAACCGTAGTAACGTTAGAAGTAGCTCACCCTGTTATAATTAGTTGGACATAATTTTGCATCAAAGGTGCAAAATAAGCGGATAAAATAGATGTATAATTTTTATATAATTTTGCACCAATGGTGCAGCCGAAATGGAAAAAATTGGGACTAAATTTTGACACGATTTCAAGGTTAAGTTATGTCTGCTTAGGCTAATTAGAACTATCAGTTAATCCTAATCATTGGTGTAGAATACATCGATTCCTCCAATTATTTCGCACCATTTTGCGTTAACGATTTTTGGATACCAATTGTGCTACAAATTAGGGTTAAAATGGTCTTGGGGCTTATTAATTAGCATCAATTGATGCAAAAAACTCGTCAACAGACAGACGGACAAGAGGAATTCAATAGCTCTCATGCTACGCAGGGTGAGCTAATAATAATAATAATATTTATTATACTGATTTATATGACCATGAGATAAGGTAACACTGATTAAGACTAAAGAAGGTAGCTCTAGCTTAACATTAAACTACAAATAAACTACATAGCATGTTTCAACAGTTTACATCCTATCTATCCCATCCCTTAACGTTTGCAGAAGTATTTATGACTAACTACAATAAGATGCATTAATTCTGGGACCATATAAGTACAGATATTATGGTGGTGGTGCGGGAGGAATAATTCAGTGATTCAAATAAAAGACGAAAAAAGATGCAGAGTTCGACATTGCATCAGATATAGGTACGTCAAAGTTTTTACAAAGAAAGTGTTCAAATCTAACACTCAATTGCACAAGGGAATCCCAGTGGCGCAACTATATTTTGGGGGCCCCTAGGCAAATGACCAAAAAAAGTTT